CGGACAGCTATTTACACCATAAAAACTATTGCACTGAACAAGAACACATACCCAATTCAGTAGCTTTAACTTGGTCTACCAAACAGAGTAACGATTTGCCCAATATACCCATCAAGCTGACCAAACTGTTTTACTGAGATGTAATATTCTGGAGAGCCATTCGATCTCTCCAATTTTTGACTATCTAAAAATCAAGTGGAAATATAATTTTTACTCTTGAAGGGGAGGCTGTGAGGGTTGGTGGTTAAGTCCTTGAGGAGTGGGTCCCAGGGCCAGAGTTTATAACCTGACACCAAATACTAGCTATGACCTTGAACAAGTTGTTAAAGCCATTTGTCCATTTCCCAGTTTATAAGAGGGAGACAAGAATAATATTGACCTGAGTAGGCTTCTTTTGAACGTTAACTGAATTAACATACATAAAGAGATTAGAATGCCACCTGGCAAACAGTAAGAACTCAATACATGTTAGCTAATATGATTAATAGTAATCAAATACATCTGTCCTTTAATACTAGTTACATAGAAGCTGATATGAGAAATAAATTATTTAATAATAAACCATAATAAAATATTACGCAGCTAAACAAATGCGTGAATATTTACAGCCTCTTGGACACCTCTGAAGAGTAGGAACCAGGGTGCTGAGTAACAAGTGCCGTATTTGCACAAATGAGAACAAAATGAAAAAGAATGGCACTGATTCAGGCTTCCCAGTGAACATAACCAAGGCTCGTGCATATTTCGGCTCCTGCATATTTCAGCTCCTGCCCAAAGCCTCATTTTAATGACAATCCAAGAACAGCAGCTCAAAAGTTATTATATGGTAATGTTAAACTAGCAAGGGGTCTTGCCTGTGGGCCACAGAATGTACTTTTACTGAAATCAAGGGAACGCAGTGAACGTCCACACACCGGGTGCTCGCGTCCTCAGCTTTGAGGGCTGGTGGCTCAAACACTCTCCCACACCCCGCAACCCCGTGTGCCCGGAGGCAGGAGACTACTCACTAGATTTTGCAAAGGGAAACCCTTATGGGTAGCACATGTAAGGATCTCCCAACCACTAGGCGTCCAATCAGCACTTTAGTGGTTCTCCCAAATGCAATCTTACCTGCTCTCACGTGGTGAAATACATAAAAGAACAAATTAAAAACATGGAAGAACGTGGATACTGATATTGGTAGGAAGGGTGGTACCTAAGGTTGCCCCAGCAACATAACCGTGGTGGAGAACCACCTAAGAATCAGAGTAATACCCAAGAAATCTCTGTTAACATTTTAAAAATCACTGAGCACATGCCATGTGCCAGGAGCTGGACTCCTGTCCCTGAGTGCCACATGGGCTTGGGGACACAATCTACACAGCAGCAGAGGAATAACCACGTCAAAGAGAAAGGCTCCTCATCAGAGAGGGCAAGATAGGCTGAGACAGTAGGTGCAGTGCCGCTCACTTCAAGACGCGTGTAGAGCTGGGGAAGGTTCTGAAGAAAAGGTACAGGGCTTGGCCCCTTCCATGAAGGAGATGAGTCAAGCAGGAGGAGGAGGGGCGCACTGCTGTGACTAAGGCTGAGGGCGGGAGCGCTGCAGGAGGGGTCGGGGGTTGAGCACATCAGGCCACCTGGAAGGGAGCCAGTGCTGGAGGGCCCACGTGAGCAGTGCAGGCGGAAAGGCGCAGACCTGCATTTTACCGTCAAAGTAGTGAAAAGTAGTTGTTGGCATGTTTTCAAAGTGTTTGCTTGCAGTGACATACGGTATGGATTACAGGAAGACCACACAGAAGAGAGGCCAGGGAGGAGAAGATTGTCCTATCAGTATGTAAGCTTTATGAGTAACTACACGAGGGCAGCGACAGATGAAACTGGAAAGGAGGTGCAAAGATGACCGACACGGGGAGAAATGAGACTCAGAGCGGAGGAGACAAGGGAGGCCCCACGGAGCTAAAATGTGAACTGAGGACTGAAAATCCACTCAGGGTCTGTGCTTCCCTCAGCACACAGTAGGTCTCCTTTCTCTCTCCCTTTCCCAGTGACCCTTTCACTAACCAAAATGAAAGGCACATCTTACTCATGTTATGTCCCCAGCCCTTCCCACAAGGAAGACGTCAGAAGCCTCATTACATTGTGTGCAACCGAACCCTGAAATCTATGGCTGAAAACACAACTTAGCCAGACCTCAAGTTTCTGAGTCAAGTGTGACCCTTCCTCCTCCATCCACCCACCAAAGGATGTGGCATGCTCCTTCACAGTCTTTTTGTGCAAAGACTGGAAGAGTCTATCAAAATAGATGTAAATGACATCGAAGGAGAAGACATCTAAGTAACACTGTTTAGTTTTTAAAGACTATTTCTAGACTACACACTTCAAGATCTATACAAATCTGAAAGACCATCTTCAAGGCCAAACACATGCTAGTAAATAGTTCTACAATAACACTGCAGCTTAAAGGTAAACACACATGCAAGTTCAGGAACACTACAGAGGTGAATTGGTCTTCCACCAATGACCGGAGTTAAATGTGAAGTTCTAAGAAAAAGATGATACATTAATAGCACAAGTCATCACTCCTTTGGTATATAAAGAAATTCAGGGACTTCTAACATATTCTCCCATTAAGTATTGGTCCATGTTTCAGACAACTGTGACTTAACAACAAAAACCTTACAAGTTTTACTGGCTTACAATATTTATAATACCCGTTGGCAGGTATCCCTGGTCTCTCAGAATGCCCCACCTGGAGGACAGGCAACAGCTACCTGGCTGGCATTTGCTAACTCTGCTCCAGTACAGGGAACCCTGTTCATTTATGACTTTCATTGTGCATTCTCAGTGGTTCAAACTGACCTTCAGTGGGAGGATTTGCAGGTGACTTCAATATAGAAAGCACTTGCTAAATATTATTTGGAAGTGTTCCACCCACCATTGATTTTGAACTTTTCTGATATGAGATTTCTGACATATCTGAAGGCAAATTAGAAAATGGAGTTTTATAGACCGTCAGAGTAATTCTGTCAGCAACATAAAAGGCAGAAAGCCAGAGTGGAATCTTTGAAGAGAGTGAAATGCTGGCAACATTTCCATTTCCTCTATCTTGGTGGGGAAAGAAAAAAGGGGAAGCAAGGGGACCTCTAGCAACGTCAGGAACCTTTACAGCACAACAAGGCAAAGGGACCTTCAGCCCACGTGGACTCAACTGCTTACCGATCAGCAGTCTTAATTTCTTAAAAAAGAGCATTTTTGAACATATTTCAAAGGTTTATTAGCATGCAAAAAGTATAAAAATAATAAGCGTACTCTTTATTACAAGTAGTTTTAGAAACCTGAAATGTTTACAAAGGCAATGTTTTTAAAAGAGATTCATCAAAAAGTCCATAGATCATTTCCTCAAAAAAAAAAAGTCTAAAAATAAGGGCTTTCTTCACCAATAAAGTGAATGACCTCAAATTTTGCATTCAGATACCAAGGTGAATAAAAATAAAAAGAGGGAAGTGTGACAGTTCATGCATTTTTAAAAATGTAACAGATATGTTGTCCTGTGCAATGTTTAAGTTGCCATGAAAGCAGGACTATTATAATATTATAGCGTTAACTTCAGAACATACTTGATGATTAAATGTAAAGGGGAAAATGAAAATAGTATATGAATATTTGGCACCTGCACACTTCCTTTTATTTAAAAAAATTTTCAAAAAAAACCCACCCGTAGTAATACTGTACTTTGCAAACCAAACTGACATTCTTTTGCCATTTACAGTTCTAACTAGTGACATTTAAAAGCAGTGGTCAGCCTGGTCAGGAATCGGGAGAGATGGTTAGAACCTATTCCAACTTCTCGAATGAACAAGGGTGCTCCCAGAGCAAGGAGGAAAAGGCACAATAGGGGCCTCCAGTCACCATCCTGTCCTGTCATCCCCTGCCATTACCCTGTGTCATTTTCTCCATGGACACTTTTATTTGCACCCCCCTCCTTCCCTTCCACCAAGTCTGGTTTTACTCACTAAAATTAAAGCCCAGGGAACCTTGTCCGTCTGGGTCACCACGATAACCCCCGAGCCCAGGAAAGCATCTGGCATATGGATTCAATAAATATTAGTTGAAGATATTAGTTGGATACTACCCAAAAGTGGATCAGAAAATCAGGTCCAGTCAAGTAGAGGGGTTCAGTCTACTGTGGATTCCACCTACTGGGGGCATGGGTAAAGAGCTGACTCCTGATACCCACAGTCAGTCTTCATTTCGTTGTCAGTAGGTTCATGGAAACTGCAACTTTCACCACGCTTATGAGGCCAGCTGATATATAAACCAGAGTCACATCCCTAATGCCTATTTCTGTATATTAATTAGCCTATGGTAAAAACAGAATAAGCATTCAAATGCTTGTTGAGTGAATAAATGAACATATTACATATATATGTACTATTTAAACTTGTGTATATATATTCCACTTTTAGTAAAGTATAATTTAGTAAGACTAGATGTCATTATAACATTGATAATGCTTTTTAATGAAACAGAATGAAAAACAGATTCATATTTTCAAATAACAACCATGGAGTTAAATATATATCATATAAACTATAAAGATGTGTGTGAGAACAAAATAGATAATTTTAAATAAAAGACACTATAAAAATGTCTTTTCTAAAGAAATACTTATTATAATTCTAATAAGCAGTACTTTTCTGATACAGAATCTACTTTATCTAAAATGAGTCCTAGAAAAGAATATCAGCTTCTGCTCTGGCTAGTGTAGCTCAGTGGGTTGAGTATAGGGCTTCGAACCAAACAACCCCAGTTCGATTCCCAGTAAGGACACATGCCTGGGTTGCAGGTCAGTTCCCAGTAGGGGATGCATGAGAGGCAACCATACACTGATATTCTCTCAATGTAGAGGGGAAGGAGAGAGCCTTCCCTTCCCCTTTAAAGATAAATAAAGAAAATCTTTAAAAAAAAAAAAGAATATCAGCTTCTAGTGTGAATTCAGGATCTCAGACTGCCTTCAAGGTAAGATAAAAACTAAACTATGTGTAACATACACAGTAATAGAATAGAATATATATGATGTATATTTAGAATGTAAGCAGTTCTAAATATATATTCTCATAGTCTTCAATGTATTAAAAATGCTTTAAGAATACAAACAAATACACAGAGATTGTAATTAAGCATTTAGTTACTGAATTCTATTGAAAAATATTAGATAACTAGCTAGCACATGGTCAAATACCATTGAGGACATATGCTGTATTTTTATAAACCATCTTAGATGTGTTTTCTGTTACATAGTCTAGGAGAAAAGTCTATCTAGTTCCCTTACTTAAACCAAGTCCATTTAAAATGGCCCTTCGGTTATAGAAAGCTATAAATCAGACTACATATTCCTACTTGAGTACCCTAAGAAACAATAAGACACAGGTTGAACAAGACATACAAAGTAAATCACTGCAGTATTATTATCATTATCGATCCACCACTCAGGAAATCTGGCCTTCCCTGACTTCAGAGAAAAAGAAAAAATATGCAAAATCCCTTTTCTCTTTAAGTATGAACTAACTCAAGATTCTGAACAGATGCAAGCTGCTGTACTGTTGAATATGAACCGTATGCTGACTTGTTCAGCAAGTAAGACAATTTAGATTAAACGTGGATGTTCACTTACTTTTTTCAGACACTTCAACTCGATCAACATGGATAAATAAAAAGTCAGGTTCACTTTTTCTTGTTTTGACAAAATCACCACCACCATCCCCACCCCCCATCCTTTTCTTCATTCCAGCCATGTGAAAAACTAGAAACAATGATAAAACTTTTAGATAGACTCCAATAACTCTTATGCAATATTTATGTTGGATTTCAGCTCCTATATTTCAAATGGGCTGATTTGGTTCCTGGTCTTTCAACAGACCTCTGTATGAATGCTAACTTAGGTAAAAGTGGCACCTGTTGACAGAGCACCAGTTAAAAAATAACAACAGCAAAAATCTCTATAGAAAGCAAGGATTAATCAGGATGCTCGAGTAGGACATCCGGGCCAGCTGAAATGCTATGCTTAGGGCAGGCTAGCCAGAGGCACTCTGTGGGTGTGGCATATCTCCAGATTGGTTCCGGGGTGGGTCATTATTCTGAAGATTATTGTTCTGAGTTGCACTCTGGGCACAGATTCTGGGTGATGCCCCAGGATATCCCTTGGAATTATCATTTGCTTAATTCTCCTAAAAGAGGTGAAGATTAAACAGTTTCCTGGGCTCCGGAAACTGTTGCTTTATTCTGATGGAAAGACAGCACCAGTTAATCCCTCTCAACATAAATACTCAGGACTCTGTCTGCGTTAACTCTTCAAGCACATGGAAAAAGTGATTCTTAAAAATCAGGTAACCCTGGCCTCAAACCTCCTAAACAGTGTGAGACTTTCTATAAATGAATAACTTAATAACTGGGGGTAGGTGGGAAGAAATGTGTAGAACAGTTCTTTAGTTTGCAATTCAGTTTTGAGATTTAAGGCAGTAACTGCAAATCTAAAAAATAATTCAAAATTATTCTTCACCGACCATATGAAAGGCAACAGCTGGCTGAAAAATAAATGAGGCATAAAAGAAATCAAAAAGGCTGTAACATATATAGAGCACTTTAAATATTGAGGCATATTATAGATAAACTATGTACTGAGAAGTTTTAAAGTCTGAAGTTCTGCATTTTGACCCATGATACAAATATTGTCTCCATCGTGAGATTCTGTGTTTAATGTTTCTCATAATAACAGTAACTATCATTTATTTAATCTACATGACATGACAGAGATGGTGCTGGAACCACTATGGAAACATAAGCTCATGCAATCCCAATAACACCTCTGCACAGTCATGCTTGTCTCTGTTTAGAAGAGAAAGATAAAATAAGGTTCAAACTGTAATGACAAGTAAAAAGAACCACGGTGGAGATTCACCAAGGCCTGACTCCAAAACCTGTCAATATCCTACAAAAGCAGAGTCAATGCTCATTGCTACTTCCAGGTCCCACCCTTGCGAGTTCATGAACTGGCTGAAATTTGTTTGTGGCCCCAACATCAGCACTCGACCCATCCTGCGGCCATTCACGGATGGACACAAGCAGAGCAGTGAAAACTCGGAGCCACCAACGATGCGGATGCGTTCCCCAGGGCGCCGCTCTGCCTGCTTGTTTCAGCTCTGAGGTCGCAAACAAGTGACTTCTGTGTGGTTTTAGTGCCCCTTTTCTCACCCTTCTGTGCTTTCTGTGGGTGACTCACTGTTTTCAATGCCCACGGCCACAGACCTACAGTCCTGCCTACTGTCCTCAGCCCACGAAGGCCCTGACGGGCCTCACGGAGGAAATACGTGTGTCTGACATGCTTTGTTCAAGCACCAGTCATAGGGTGTGGGCCATGAATTCCATGGTAGTGACTCAACAATATAAACTCCAGAAGGTGTCTTAAAACACAGCGCACATAAGACAGGGTTATGTGTCGATCAACTGATGAAAATGTAGGGGTCAGAGGCTCCCAGGAACCTAGCCCTGTTTTTCCCTTAGGAGCAAATTCACTGTTTGCTAACTCAGTGTTTGCAGAACCTAACTACAGCGAAGAGTGAAAATTCCAATAGAAAACTCCGCCCCCCCAAATGTTTGCATTAACGTTTTAGTAAAAGATTCTTCTCCTGTCATTTCCTTCGAAGACCATCATCATATCTGTGCAGTCGTCACTCAGCTGTGTAAAACAAAAAATTCTTTTCTGTCGCCATTCTTTTTCATAGGCTGCATTGACATGTGTTTCCCTGTGCCCAGAAAACTAATCTCTCTTCAAGGCAATGTGGTCTTCCGATGTGAAAAATCTAGGGAATTCAATTTCATTTCTTATTACCGGATGTCATGGGGACTGTCTAATGACGGCTGTTTTTGTGAGATTACGAATTTTTAAAAATAAGACTGTTGGAGATAATACGGACAACACAAACGGCAACAAAAACGAAAGTATGGCAGAGGAGTTTTAAAATATCAGCACAAGTTGGAACTCTTACCTTTCTTGCCCAAGTCAGATATTTTATTGAAAAAAGAAATTACAGTACTTAAAAATCCAAACAAGGACAATTCCAGGTTTGAGAAAAAGAAACCTGAAAAAGCCCATTGTCTTCAGCAAGATTCAGAATACAAAAAACATACACTGGGAAAACAGTTTACAGCCCAACGCACTGGTGTCGTGATAAACACACACATACAGAGTATATCTCCATCAAGTGAAACTTAATCACCTTTTTACAATTTAGAGAGGAAAGGCAGCTTTTTACTGTGGTTGAGCCATGTATCATCAAAGCCATGAAGCTAGCCTATCAGTTGTAATAGCTTCTGTAAAACACCACAGCGAGATTGCAATAAGCCTAGAAAATGGGCTACAAATCCCAGCTCTGCTCAAGCAAGCAATGAGCCAAAAGTAAAAATAGGTAAAACTGAACCAAGAACTAGATAGACAGCATACATCTAGATTCATGATTGGTAAGGCAAAGTTCACAGGCCAAGGTCTTAAAGTGACTTGTTCAGATCCAAAAGACAGTCATTATACAAAATAAAAGCATTTGTGTAATTCGGGGGGGGAAAATCACGAGTTTTCACCACAAAAGACATAGCACAGAAAAGCTTACTTACAATTACAAAACACCACATTATTGAATCTCTAAAATATCACTTTAAATATGCAAAGGTAAAAAAGAGACTCAAAGTTGCACTTCACCATTTTTCATCTCTCCAGTTTAGACAAGCAATCTGAAAGATGTCACACATTCCCACTTAACATCTTTGCTGAAATCTTTCAGATTGTGATGACTCTGTGTAAAGGAAATGTCAACCTTGAGTTTCCTTTCCAAGCCCCATATTTAAGTGGGCCATTAAATGACGAATTAACAATCCATACAATAATATAAAAATACATGTGTTAAATCACAGTTTTCACCCATTATTGGAACTTAATGAAAATATTGATCATTTTAAGATCACCATTCTGCAAAACTCCAATGGCCTGCACGCAGTGCAGTGTCTAAATTACACCACCAACAGGAACATGACATCTCTCTCTGCGTGGGGAAAACGAGCTCAGGCCAGTATCCCGACTCGGTGACGCACACGTTCTGTCACTTCGGGAGTGAGCACACAGCTCTCACTTTGAAACATGACAGTGTGATTCCGCACCATACAGTATTGGTTGCAATATCAGTTGTCACACAAGTTCCATAAGCGCTAACCCAAAGCAGTCATTTTGATTGGTTTCAGGTATCATCAGACAAGGTGCATGATTTAAAGGTAATAGTAAACAACTCTACTAGCACAGACTGGTGACCACGGTGGCTAGTTTAAAACTAGGGTGATGTTTGCAGTACAGTGAACACTACAGAATAAAATACAATGAGTTCGCAATACAGAGCAGATGATCCAAGTAGGAAGCAAACAAGCAAAGTACAATCTCTAGCAAAAATTATCAACCCTCCCTACTAACTCATCTCAGCCCTTGTTAAAAATACCCTGAGTAAAATGCAAATATTTTAAATAATGCTGGTTATGTAAGATTTCTCTAAAAATCAACCATAAATGCTAATGCATTACATTTTTATTCATAACAGGTAATGTAAAAATTAGTGCTTAACTAGTTACAATATAAAAACAGTAAGGAATACTTATGTGGTATCTGGATGGTTTTGATTTTCTAGCTTTCGTTAGCAGTTTGGCAAAGCAAGTGATACATAAATGGTTTCAATGTAAAAAAAATCATGAAGGAGAAAATATATAAAATGTACAGCAGTTTCTACCCCCCCCCCCCCGGGCCGACCTAGATCCCTAGAAAAGCCTCCCCAACCAGGTTCAGGTCTGACTAGAGGCAGAATAGCAGTTCTCCGGCAAAACCAGCCCCATCTTTCTCAGTTCAGTGACATCCCTCCGGGGGAAGAGGACAGGAGCCAGGGTCCCTCGAGTGCCATTCCCCAGATGTTGAAAACGTAACTAATTTATTAGCATTAGAAGATTTGGTTTATAGGGGAATCTCACGGGTCCAGTTTGTAGCCTACAAAAAAATGGATTGTTTTTAAGTATAACATTAGAATAGGGATCAAGGGTGAGGGTGTGGCTTTTTAGTCCATAGAAATGGATGTATTTCCAAACATGACAAAGAGCGAGCAAACAGAGCATGCCTACCATTGAAGTGGGGGTCCCTCCAGACTTTTTAATGTTCTTGGGAGGCATCCCATGAAGGCGACTGAGTCTAGCTTGGAAACCTGGAAAATCAAAGCACCCGGTTTAGGAGATTCTGTGATCACTGGAGTGGAGAATAAGATCCTACCAATGACAGCTTCAAAAAGTAAGTGGGAGGAGGGAAAACTTGTCAAACAGCGGTGGGAAAAAGGTGAAGCTCATCCTTATTAATAAAAGATCAGACTCCATGCCATGTAGGGTTCTAATGTGGTCAGTGCGCAGCCATTGATTATTTAAGCATCAAGGTTTTCCTTTCCTCTCGAATCCCCTTTCTGTCATGATGGGCCAAGCAGGAATGAGAGTCAACCTTTCGAATAATTTGAAAGCACAGCAAGTATAGATTTAGGCTCTTTTGTTTCCATTTTAGCCAGTCCCCCCTCAATGACTCTGACCACTCCCAGACCGACCACGGGTCCCCTGCACCCACCAGTCAGGACGTGCTACTGACCTCTTCTCCCGGGATGTGACATAAGGGGGAAAGAGCCAGTTAAGATACTTTCAAAGACAGGGTCTGGTAAGTTTTTGTCTAGCTCAGCCGGATCTTCCTTTTCCCACCAGGGCACGACTCCCGTGATGCCGCACGCACCACCCGACTCCTTTTCATAAAACCAGTCACTCTGCTCGTCGTCACCTGTGCAAACACAAGAACACCACCCAGAGAGACGGCGTTACCATCCCAGTGAACACAGTTGTCGGGGGCAGATTTAAAACCTACAGTAGAGCGATGAAACCTGAAGTTCAGATAAGTGGTTCATCAGGATGGGACCAAAGGAGGTTTGCAGCTTGTATGGAAAACAATACAATAATTAATACATGATAATACTAGAATAAACCCTGTGTTTCACGTACTAACAAATGCAAACCTACTTTTGCCCCGTCCTGTATATAGAACTTAGAATTTTTAGTCTAAGTATGTGCAAATACTGGGACATGCTTAAGCAAAAATAACTTATTTATCTAAAATTAAAATGTTACTGTCAACCCTGCATTTTATCTGACAATCATATATATAGCCTATTAAAGAAAAAAAAAACTTTTTATTCTGTCCCACAGCTTCGCTTAAATGTTTGGGTTTTGTTCGTTTTATTTTTAGAGAGGGGGAGGGAGGGAAAAAGAGAAACACCAATTAGTTGCCTCTTATGCCTACCAAGTAACCCGGAAGGAAACCTACACCCCCCCACCCCCCACCCCACCCCCTGCTCAGTCGCACAGTCCCAGATCGAACTGCCGAACTTTTGGTTTGCAGGACAACAGCCAACCAATTATCTACCATGGTGAGGACAAGAAATGTTTTTTTAACACTACAACAAGAACTGCCATCAACAAAACCATAAAATGTTAGGTTTTAATAAACTGGTTAATCTTTTGGCAAAAACTGTAGGGGGAATCCATTTAAGTTACTACGCTTTCCACATTAAGGAAAAACAAGCCTTAATCTCCTACTGGGAATTAAAAGGTGTAACACTGTAGAACCTGTTCTTTGCAGCTGATAATGGTGTATATTAGCTTAATTTCATGATTTCTATGGAGTGTAAAAGGGGAAACAATCATGAACAGATGTGACTAAATGAAATTAATCTGATTAAGTTCATTAAGAAATGGCTGTGAGAAAGTTGATCGGAAATGAAAAGTGACAACTCCGCAGAGTTTACAGGGAGGCCATCCTGGACCAGGGCCCGGTGTCTGCACATCAGAACCACCCATGGCCGTCTGAGGGCCCGTGAGACAGCAGCGTGGAGGGACTGGGACTGGCACTGCGAGATTCAGCCTGAGACACACCTCCGCTGGGGCCAGCCGTGTGTTGTAGCTTAAAATAGGGATAATGAAGAAAGGGATAAACAGACAGAAACACAGAAGGCGGGTGTTTAAAAATAAGGGAAGAGCAGCATCTCGAATAGGATCTGACATTCATTAAGCCTTCTTCGTGATTCTTACAATCTAACTATGAATTCTTGTTTCTGAGAGGGTCACCACAACCTCCACACACTTTTTCCCTCTGAAAAAACAGAGTGCTGATTTCCAAAATCCCTCATCACGATTATTGTAAAATGCAAACTGAAATAAATCTTAAGCTTGGACTGGAAATGATTTTATGTAGCTATATTTCAAATTATGAGGGAGCGAAAAATGTAAAGCAGTCGGAAAATTGGAGTCACCAATTTATTTCAGTTGAAGACTTAATAAAAATTAATTTTTAAGAAAAGAACATAAATATCTGTACTTTAACTGATTTTTTTGTTTTCTTTCAAAAAACTTAAATTATCCGAGTTTCAAGTGTATAACTCTGTAATACATCATCCGTATGCTGCGTCACGCACTCACCACCCAAAGTCAGGTCTCCTTCTGTACCCTGACTGGTTTCTATATTAAAGCTACACCAATTAGGTGTAAGCGTAGGAAAAGAAAAGGAGTCCCTTGAAACTGACTTCCCTAGGTCTTAATGCCAAGTAAGATGGCAATATTATAGAAAAAGAATGTTATTTTATTTTTTGTGTGATACCAACTTTATTCTTAATGGGAAAATCAATTAGCTAAAGATTAAGAACCTGGGCTCTTGAGTCAGACAGACCAATTAAAATTCTAGTATTTTCCTACATTGGGACAGTAACTTCAACTGTTAGCTTAGGTTTCACCATCATTAAGAAAACAGAAATCTCATAGGGATGTTTTAAGAATTAAATAAGAACTTGAGTAACTGAATGTTTTAAAAAAAAGCACTTAGCAATGTGAAATATAATAAACTTGCAATAAATGTTATCATATTTTTCTAAGGTACTCAGTGTTTTTCTAAGATTGATAGGCTTAACAAATTGTTGCTTTTTAAAGTTTTTTTTCATTTATAACTTTGGGGAGACATGTATTTTAACAAGAATTTAGGTATATCTTAGCCCTAAGGTTCTACTGTATTTCAGCAAAGTCTCAAGTTTGAAAAGTGTATGGCCTTTAAAAAAAAAGTTATGAACCTATTTATCCAGGACAAAAGGTTCATAAGTAAGCCAAACATGATCACTTAATAATAACTGAAAACAATAAACTTTGTTGTTTCCCTTAGAATTTACTAATTCCTTCTAAAGGTTCGTGTGAAAGGAAGTGAACATTTAGTATTTACATGTAGGCTACTTCCCCCTTTTGAGTTTTTCATCTCTTCTTCCAGAACAGGCGGTTTTAAAATAATGCCATGCTAAAGTATAAGAAACCTCAGGAAATCTCAAAGATAAAAAAGGTCTAAGGGGCAAAACATTACTGTTTAGTGGTTTACAATATTGAACTTACGAAAGCGGTCTACTCACAAACTGGATAGAACGGCTACATGTCAGAACTAAATGAAAATGACAAGTGACTTGCAGATCCAACCTTACACATGCTTAAACAGAATTAAATACATTTAAAATCGGGTGGAGGTGGGGAACCAGTGTCTTGGGAACTTGCTAAAAGAATCAAAACTGAGAAGACTGAGGTATATAAAGCTTTCTCAAGGAAGATAATCCTCCCGAACATCATTAGCTCCACATACTGGCTTCTGGAGATAATCATTAGCTCCAGGTCACGAAGTCACAATGCTGTCCCAGTACACCAGAAAACTAAACCCCAGTCCACTTAGAAGTGTGTGTAAGGTAAATGGATTGCAGTCGTCAACGTAGGACATAATCAGTAATAAGCACAACTTTACAATGAAGACGTTTTCCCAGAGAGAGAAAAAAATGGCCGGTCAGTACCTTGCCTTCCTTCGTCATTGGTGAACAACCCGGCATCAGTGCTGCTGAGGCTGCTGGAATCACTGGAGAAGGGAAGGGAAGAAAAAAAGATCAAAAGAACAATTGATCTCTCGGTCGTAAAATTTTAAAGAGACGTGGCAGCTCTGGGATGGGACTTAAGCCTGACAAAGATCTGAAAGGAAACAAGATGATTTTTTTTAATCCAACTGCAGGTATTCTGCTTCCATTCGCTCCACAGCATATTCTTTTTGGCACATAAAACCACGGGAACCTAACGGGACCCTGACAGTTGGCCAGATGTGGCTGCCACGAGGTGCGGATGTAATAAATGCATTTTATTATCCGCTTTCATTGAATGCTCACCGCTCCTTCCTCCTGCCATGCCAGTCGGCATGAGCTGGGAGCACCCAGGCTCAAGTAGACAGGAAAGGCTCAATCAAGAGAAGACTGAGACTTCCTGCCTTCAGCACAGGAGATCCAAGGGGCTGAGATGCAATTACTCTCCATGAGCACATTTGCCAATATTCTGGGAAAGGCATTACTGAGGAACTCACAACAAGTCTATCACTTGGCAAGGAGGAAAAAAGTTAAATTCGTTAAATCTAAAGTTAAGGTCCCTCTGAGCAAAAGCTGAGCAAAAAAGAATGTAACCAATACGAGGAAGGGGGCATGAGAAAATCACAGGTTTGCATTACTCCCACTGAAGTTCAAAATTATGACACAGAGTAAAAGCTAACCTACAAAAGGAAACAAACAATGGGTATTCAGATGACATGAACAAACTGTCACTGTCCACTAAGAGGAGCAGTGCTTATGGGACAATATAGTTGGTTAGTTAAAAAGCCACAAGAGCAAGTGCTATAATAAGAGGGTTGGCCTGTAAAGAAAACGGATGTTCTTTAAAGTCTCTCATGTACCCTGCTTTCACTCTGATTCTTCATTTACCATTAGAAGATTGCCCCCGCTGATTTTTTATATCGTAATACATTTTCCATTAGTATGTAGAACTCTGTGACCTAACTTATTTTTTAAAAAAGCATCTCAATCTGCTTTAGATAGTTAAATCGAGTTTAGGATTAAAATTATAGATGACATCTAAATCCCTAGACATTTCTCTGAATATAAAACATTGGAGTTTTTGTTTGATTTTTTTTTAAATCAAACAAAAACTACAGGAATTTGGGAGATCCATTTCCCACAGAATTCTGAATCAGTACCTTTTCCTCTTTCTTCAAATTAAGAGAGTGCATGAAGCTCCCTACAGTGCACAAGTATTAATGAAAGAAAATAATACTTTCTAAGACCACCAAATTCATCGTTCCTAATTTACACACACATCACTTACACTCCTCTCTACATATAGTGACATTAGAGTATTTATTAAAGACACATCATGAACTTGATCTTTTTTGCCACGTGGCTGCTCAAACTCCGCAGGACGTTCTCCTTGTCGGAAACTGAGCGGTGCTTTCCGGTCCGCCCCGCCAACGGAGCTCTAATGAACAAACGACCTTGGCCTGCACACCTGGGGTCGCAATTCTTTCTCCAAAGCCCTTGAGTCAGAACGTACGTCAAATTGAGAAGTCTCCTCATTTTAGAAAGGTACATACTAAAATGCCTCAGGTGGGTCTAAGGTAGCAGGGCATAATCAGACACATTAATACAATCGTTCAATTGAGGGAATGAGTATCCATGTTAAATATAGGTCAAATCAGGTCTGGCCACAAATGCATGAGTTTCTCATGGCTTTCAGAATTCAGATGTACAGATAAAGGACTGTGAACCTATGTACTGTCTGTTTATTTATTTCTTTTTTGGCAAACGCTCTTCTACTCTTTCAGAGTTCAGATTTATCCTCTCTAGTATATTCCACATCACCATCAGGCTCATCATTTCAAAATGAAACTTGTCCACTAAAAATCCTTTGATATCCTGAGTAGGATCCTGGAAGAGCAAAAGGTTACTGAATAGAAACAAAGGGAATTCTAATAAAGTGCTGACTTCCCCTAATAACGTGTTCACCTTGGCTCATTAATTCTGACAGACGAGCTGGAAGTTATCAACAGGGAGACTGGGGACGGGGTACGTGGGGGCCCCACACAGGCACTGGACTTAGTCTCTGCAAACTTCTTTGTAAATCTGAATAGCCTTCGTGGTCTGCTGGTAAAAATCTAAAATTACTTCTCCACACTGGCTGGATTCCATTCAGATTTCAAGGCGCTCTCTGGGATGGGGTCCCACCTCAATTCTTTCCATCCCCATCTCTGGCCACTTCCCCTTTCTATCTCCTCTCTCATCTCTCTCTGCCTTGCCCCCTCTTCTGAAAGATACCCCAGGAAATCAGAAACCCTAAGACCAGCTCTCGGTACTTAAGGATCCTTGTCCTCATTTGACAAATGTTTACATGTTTTAAACCAGGGGTCCCCAACCTCCAGCGCACCCGGAGGCCTGGGTGAGTGCCGGTCCAGGCCTGGTAGGAACCGGAGGGCGGCACAGCAGGAGGTGAGCTTGAATGTGACAGGTTGAATCACCCGGAAACCATCTCCCCCACCCAGTTCCGTGGAAAAATTGTCTCCCATGGAAACAAAAAGGTTGGTGCCAAAAAGGTTGGGGACCGCTGTTTTAAATGGCACGGTTTCCTATTTGCATTTCACCGCATAACATCTAGCTAGATGCTCCACACATCACGTGCTCAGTACGTCAGGACACAAACTTAGAGGAAAGGGAGACTTTCCATTTTCAGCATCTGATGGCCTTTTATGGCCTTATCCACTGGGACTCCTCACGTTCTTCAGTGTGACCTGTAATTACCATGTAGTTTTCAGAGATACTCCAGAAGGTTTGTTGAATTAGCATGTGCACACTGTCCCCAACCTCCTGTCCCCCAGCTGTTTCCTGTATTTTCTCTTCTTCAAACCTGGACCTCCTCTGGGCATCCGCTCTCTCCATCAGCCCTGCAGGTGAACTCCCACGGACTCCGGCTCTCCCAGCGGCCCCTCTGCTGCCACTGCCGACCCCCCGACCCTGGCCCCACCCCCACCCCCCGCACATGTAAGGATAGACTGGAGATCAGCTGAAAGCTGGACAGAACACTGTCCTCAGGATCACATGTGCTATCTTGACAACATGTGAATCTAATCGATAACATGCAAATCCAACAGTTTCTTCACAGACTTCCCATTACATGTGTGATGAAATGCAAACCACTTCCCACAGCACAGGAGGCCATCAGGACCTGCTCATGGGCTGGTCTCAACCCTACTCTCCGTCCCAGCAGTGAACTGACTCCACATACTTTCCCAAACACTGGCTTCACATCCGCGCCTGTGCACAGAGCCCCTTCTGCCCAGGAACGTCACGTCCCCTTCCAGGGTCCCACGGGCTTAGTGCCGCATTAACTGACGGCTCCTGGTGGAGGCCTTCCCCACCGCACCTTCCCCTGAGCACACTGCAGTCTCTGCATTTGCTGTCGGCTGCTCCAGAAGACGGGGCTGCAGAGAACCAGCTCTGTCCTAGCATTAGTCTTGGTACCGTGGGAAGAGTAAACAGTTACTCAAGGTTTGTTTATTCAAACACACAGCATGAAGTAGTTCAATTCTCATTTCTACATGGGCTCCAAGGAAATACATAGCTTTTAATAGTAGAACAGCTTTGGGGGCAGTCTCAAAAAACTTGGACAAATACCTTAAATATTTAGCAGTCTTCCCATAAAAGGAATAGGTACCTAACTTTTAAGGAACAAGAAAAATAGTCTTATAGGTTAAATTTTAAAACAAGAGGAAAAAAATTGCTTTTGTTTGTTCAAGAGTCAAAACATCCACTGTGAAGATTTGGACCCGGTCCGTGGATGGCTGGGCATTCTGAGCATATTTTAGGCATTCAGATACTTTCTACAGTGAAGAGAAATAAGGAGCTCCATCTCATTTCTCTCCCAGGGTAGAAGTCTGTCAATAAAAGGCAGCCATCAATAAAAGGAGGGGCTTGGACAATCAATCCAGAAAGCAGGTGATCTATGAATAATCCAGAATCAAGTACTTATCTCCACTGCCACACATCCTCCCTCCCAGCAAGAGAGAGCGAGACAATTACTCTTAAGTCCCGCTGAGTGCTCCCCGGCCACAGCGGCCTAATGCCAACACACACAGATCATTCTGGTAGGAAAACGACAACTTTGGTGGAAGAAGGGCAGATACCGTAAACTTCCAAAACCTTCCCAAAACATCTCTTATTTTTACTTCTTTAGGAAAAAAAAAATGCATGAAAAGTAAACCATCTCTTATAAGAGGTCTGTTCTATAAAATTTTGCCCGGTCCTACTCATATCTGCAATCATAATCATATTTATAAGAAAAACCATAAATGTGTCAATATTTATACACACACACATACACGTATATGTGTGTCTGTGTGTCTGTATATTTGATATACAGGGTCCAGCAGAAGTAAGGCCTCCCTGAGTGTGGTTGGTAGGGTTATAATATGGGTGTAATAATTTATAGTTTTCATTTGAACATTTCACCCAAAATGTCATATAGAGTGCTTGAGTGTGATACTGTTATGTTACAGAATTACATGCTTATGATTTTGTAATAAAAGAGGGGTGTTACTTGTGCCGGACCCTGTCGTTTACACACCTACACACATATGTAAATAGGTCACAATCCACATGATTAAAATGTCAGCCCCACACATAAAAATCAAACACTCTTTCCCAGACCACTTTTGAGGAATGTATTTTTCTGCAGCACAGTTCTGCATGTGGTTTGAAGAACACCTAAAAGGGTGAACAGTGTCGATACTTTCTCATTTCCTGCAAGCGGCATTAGTTCTGTGTGAAAGGAAAATGAGCATTTACCTTTTGGTGCCACTAAAATAGCGCTGGGAATCGTTGCATGAGACTTGCTTTCCTGAAGGGACCGAGTAGACCAACTGCTAAAGGGCCCAGGCTTCCCTCGTTTGTCTCATGACAAGGTCAGGTGTGTCAGACTGGAAACCGGACTTCACAGTTCCTACATGATCAGAAGTCCTAGCTACAGACTGAAAACGCTGAGCCACACACACATGGAAGTGGCAACCACACTTGATTCTCAGTAATTGAATAAACAGATAAATTGTGAAACTAAAACAGAACCAAATACTAAAACTCTGCATTAAACAAATCATTATAAACACAGTTCTGAGAGTCACGATAGGTTATTATTCGAACACACGTCCTTCCTCAAGGAAAATCTATTTCTTTCTCTCTTTGTAGCTGAAAATTAAGTCATTATTACACAATCAAAAGACTTTGGGTAAATCAAATAAGCAATTTTCCTTTGTGTGGAACATCATAAGTTATAAGGAAATATGACCATGGTTACATGGTAATATCACTGCCATTATTATAGTTCTTAATTATTTCAAAACTGCATTAATAAAAATACAAAACACATGCAACCACCCAACTATCGACACATCTTTACATTCTGTAACAGGAAATAGAAAAGTCACCTTTCGCTCATGAGCTCGTCGGAGACTTTCTGTTCTTCATACTCCATTTTGTCCTTACCGGTCTGGCTCATCTCGCCTTCCAAAACTACTCCTTCATCTTGGATTTTGGGTCCTTGCCTGATGATTCGCAGTTTCCTCTTCTTGACTTTGCTCCTGGTAAACTCTTGGTACTGGTAAGCTCTGTCGTTGTCCACGTCCTGGTCCCTGCAGCTGTCCGGGGGCTGGGTCATGGTGCGCTTGCTGGAGAAGTCGTGCGGCAGGTCCACGGCCATGCGCTTGACCTTCCGCCGGCGGCGCAGGGTCCGGTTGCCCAGACTGTCCAGCGCGAGGTCGGGCTCGTGCCACAGAGGCCTCTTGCCCCGCACGTTGTTGTTCAGGTTTGACGAGGGCCTGCGCTTGGCCACGAGCATCTGGTCGTCAGAGTCACTGTGATCCTTTTTACCGCCGCCGTGGTTCTCTCTGTAGTCCTTGCTCGCGTCCTCCAAGCTAGAATCGGAGCCCTCGCTCAGGCAGTGGCCGGCCTCCCACGGGTGGTGGACGTTGTAGGACCTCCGTTTGCGCCCTCGCCTCTTCCTCGCCTGGCGCTTCAGCGGGCAGGACAGGCTGCGAGCGTGGTCCCCGGCCTCAGCGAAGCCGCCGCGGGCCTGCTCCGAGCTCTCCTCCAGCGCAGAGACGAGGTCGTGAACCAGCTCCTCCATGGTGCGGCTGAAGTGCCTGCGTTTTGGAGAGAGAAAAACGTTTAAAGCACATCGTCGGCCTTAACCATATTAACCCAGCTTCTTCCAGCAGACGGACAATCCACTCTAACTAAAATTAATAGTCATGATACAAAGCTGTTGAAGCTGTTGAACGTCCCTATCCAAGATACTCAAGTTTTCAATATTCTGATCATTTTAAGCTCCTTTTTCTTATATATAAGTTCATTTATTATACATAGGACTCAGGTCAGGATAATGTCAGCAATGGAAGGTCACAGAAATTTTATACTTATAAAAATTATGGAAAAGTTATTTATGCCTTAAAAAACCTGTCCGTCAGCCTACTCCTGCCTTTTCCCTAGAGGCCGTTTTCCTACATGAGACAGAGAGGACTTTCTCAACCTCCCTGACCCATTTCTAAGAAGGAAGTGCATACGCCCCCTACTCACCATGGCCCCGCAAGTCACGCCATGACATGCCAGGCGGAGGGAGGTTGATGGGCTCTCTCAGGATTGGTGATGTACGTGAGAAGAGTTTAACTGAACACAGGGCACAGGTTACACCACTCGAATCTCATAACCTGGTGAGTCAGAAGCCACGTTCAGGTTCAGACCGGGGCCTCGCTGCTCTAAAACGAGCCGCTGTCTCTCTCCCAGCCCATCTGAAGCAGTCGCTGGGCCTGTTTGTTTTCTTTTATGAGTTTGTTGTTGAATGCACTGGGGCAACACTGGTTAATAAAAGTATACAGGCTTCGGGTATGCAATTCTGAAATACGTCATCTGTACAGCGTGTTGTGTGTTCACCAACACACTCTTGGCTTTTTTCAAAAAAATAAACAGAAACCATTGAAGCAGAAGTATCCACTAGTCACTCGGCAAGGACAGACATCTGTACTTTTTGGGAACTTTTATAAACTGTACTGGTCCTTCCCAAACTCAGCGCTCAAAGATTCAAAATCAGCCGATGGGCTAGAGGAATCAGGATTCTGATTTTATTTTGTCAACATTACAGGTGATTCACCCAGGCACCCTGCCCACGAAAATTCCGAGCAATCACATCTCAAACCGACTTCTAGAAGCACTTAGGGATGAAAATATTCTGATCGTAGAGGATTCTGTAATTTCCAGGGTCTATTGCGGCGGTAGGCACACTTTTCCACAAAGGGCCAACGAGGAAGCATGCTAGACTCTGTGGGTCACTGGGTCCATCAAAATCACTCAACTTTCCCATCGTAAGGGGAAAGTGCCTTAGGAAAGACACTTAGGAAAGTGCCTTAGGTAAATGAACGGGCATGGCTATGTTCTAATGAAATTTTATTTACGAAAACAAAACTGAGTAGTGGCAGGCCACAGGTGGCTGAGCCCTGCTTTACCTGTCCTCCATAGTCTGTAATTTCAGGCATTAGCAAGTTCCCTACGACCACTGCCAGCTTTGTCTTTTCATTTGAATGGTGGCCTGAACACAAACGCATCGTGATCAACTGGATTTACCGCTTACGAGTTAATAATGCACCTGTAACAGCTTCTCACCTTGAGTGTTTACTATGTGCCGGGCCCACGTCTGTGTTTTCTAGGCGTTGCCTGATTTCCTTCTCACATTACGACCCTGCGTGGTGGTAGATGACGTTCCCAGGGACCGAGGTTAAGGGCAGCTTCCCCAAAGAGGCACGTCTAGGAAGTGGCAGAAACAGACTCCAACTCCGGCAGTCTGGTTCCAGAGCCCACTGCTGGCCCAGCTACAGCGAGAAATCGGATCCAGTCAGCGGTTTTGCTGATGGTTGATCCAGCTGCCGGTGGTGGATTTTAATTGCTGAGACAGACGGGATATATGTGTCTGTAAAGCCAAATGACTCACACTTGGGCATTGTATCCCTTTGACAAGGAAAAAGGGACGGGAGACCTGCACCAACAGCAGGCACAGGGCGGTGTGGGCGGTGAGAGGGAGCTGAGTTCAAAGAAGCAACGCTATGTGGTTGGCTGTGCGTACACTGTGAGCAATCGGGACAGACGCTGTCTTTCAGTGACTTCAGTCTGCATTCCCCGGGTCTGTCTCTTTTGACTTTTGAAATAGCTTATAAAGGAACACCTTTATGAATCACTATATATATACACACACACACACACATATATACATATACACACATATATATACATACACACACACACACTTTTTTTTAATGGACTCTGGTGGGCCACTGAAATCTCGTTTCCTTGACAATGGTTCTATCTATCACTCTAGGTCAGAACAGGGCGTTAATGAACAAAATGGGTCTTTTCTTCATGACCTCCATGTAGGTCGTTACCTTTTTGTTTCCCCTTTATTACATTCAATATTTTATCCTTTTCCTTTAACACTATTTTTCTTTGGAAGAAATGTATTCTGAACAACCTGTTAACTTTGAACAGAATACTGTATCTTTAAAAAATGTACTGAAAGCCCATTTAACAAGTATGATAATCAGGATTCTTTGTCCAAAGGAAGACTCAGGCCCCCTGGTTCTGTAGTAACTAACGGCATCTCTGGCCTTACAGAATTCAAGTCATTCCGAGAGGCCATCACATGATCAGCAGCTCATTTCCTTTGCCCGCAGTCACACGGAAGACCACTGCATTGCAACACTTTACCCTACGGATATTTCCTCCAATAAGGCCTTTCCCACTGAAGGGGAAGCCTGGGACTCTGGGCTTCCTATATCAACTTTCCTATATGCTTATTAAGTATCCACAGGTTAAAAGTTTGTAAATAGTAAAACTCAGTATATTACCACTTTGCTCATTCGAAAGTTTTTTATTCACATGTATAAAGAAATTCTCTGTTTGAAATCCAGTCCTCTTCATTGGGAAATGAAACCTTTCGGGAATAGTTTGTAATGGTCATGATGTCTAACATAACATTTCATTAATAGTTGTTTTAAAATGGTACAAATAAACAGAATAAAATTATAGTCCCACTATCTGTATAAAGGTGGACTTTGTCAAGGGAAATGAGTAATAAGCATTTTGTTTTTCTCACAGGGTATTCAATTATGCTGAGCAATTAAGATGTACAGTCAACCCAAACTTTGATGTGCCAGGTGTAGGTAAAAATTTTTGCTCAAAGGTCAACTTTGTCTGTTTGTCCTCCGCCAGGCAATACTAAACACCCCTAACATTAAGTGTGACTACTTGGGCTGGTTTAGAAACTCCTTGACCTAACTATTTAAACCATCAATTAGAAGTAACCTTTCCTCTCCTTTTGAAAAAGATAGCATCAGCACAGGGACACCTGTGATTCTGAAACATGTAGATAATGACTGTAACATTACCTTAACATTAGGCAACACATATGGAATAAGATTCTCGGCGGGGGCAGAGGGAGTGGGAAAGGCTGCGAGGAAACTCTGGAGAACATGAGTGCTGCATGGGACCTTGGACAAATTACTGATTTTCTGGTTATTATTTTTTAGGTATATTTTATTGATTATGCCATTACAGTTCCACTTTTTCTCCCCTTTATCGCCCTCCACCCTGCACCCCCTCTCCCACCAGCATTCCCCCCTTTAGTTCATGCCCATGGGTCATGCATATAAGTTCTATGGCTTCTCCATTTCCTATACTATTCTTAACCTCCCCCTGTCTATTTTGTACCTACCATTTATGCTTATTCCCTATACCTTTCCCCCCCATTCTCCCCTCTTTCCCCTCCACTGATGACCCTCCACATGATCTCATTTCTGTGATTCTGTTCCTGTTCTAGTCGTTTGCTTGGTTTGTTTTTTTTAGGTTCGGTTGTTGATAGTTGTGGGTTTGTTGTACTTTTACTGTTTATAGTTTTGATCTTCTTTTTGTTAGATAAGTCCCTTTAACATTGCATATAAGGGCTTGGTGATGATGAACTCCTTTACCTTGACCTTATCTAGGAAGCACTGTATCTGCCCTTCCTTTCTAAATGAAAGCTTTGCTGAATAGAGCAATCTTGGGTGTAGGTCCTTGCCTTTTACAACTTTGAATTCACTATAAAAATGGGTATAGTTTCTAACTTGAAGGGATTCTTTGAGGATGACAGTGGGGCCTTAATGTGTGAGAGCAGTTATTTCAGCTTCCAACAGAGATGATGGTTAGAGGTTATTGCTAAATAACAGAAACTGGTCATGAAGTATCAAATCAGTCTGCTTTAAATGTATAACCATAGTAGGAATGCTGAAGATATCATTATAAATCCAAGACCTTCAGTCTCTCTGAGGTCTTGAACCACTCTGAATGGTGGGAAAAGTCGGGACAATAGCCATGGGCCAAAGTCTTGCATTTATAACTTCAACAAATTCAGGGACTTCTTAAAAGATCTTAAAGACCTTAAACAAAATCCCAAGTTAAAAAAAAAAATCAATGCTTTGTATCTAGACGTGCTTCTTTCTTAATAATATGCAGATACAAGGAAAAAAGAAAATCATCCTTCTGAGCTAAGAGGCTCGTAGTTCCCAGCACACAAAGCCCCGCCTCTCACACACAGGCAGCCAGAGTTCCAGCAACTTGCACTCCATGGAGGTGCTGGCAGCCTCTGCGGTGACTTCTGTCACCACAGGACACCCAGAAACCGTGTTTTCCTCCTCACCCTAGCAACTCTGTGAGCAACAAACCACAAGCGGCTTTAAAAGAAAAAAAAAAAGTTTAATTCTACTTTCCTAATAGGGATCTAACAAGGCAAATTCACTGATTATTTAAATTTGAAGAGCACACTTCTGATTTGTCATTATTTCATTTAATGACTGCAGGACCACCTCCTTCTTTCCTTATACTCTAACTGCTTTCAAAACATAAGCTACTGAATAAAAAACTGCCTGAATGAAATAACGTCAAAGTCTAAAACAAAACAACAAAAAACCTACAATATAAAAGAACTTCATCACAATTCCTGTTAACATGCACATATTAGAGCACCCAGGCAGCTTCTATATGTAGGCAATTAGTCTTATTCATTGCTTATTCATGCTAACTGCTTAATATGCATTGAATATATAATATATTCTGAAGTCCTAGACTAGCAATGAGAAGGAAGACAATTGAATATTAATTGCAAGCACCCAGCACAATGCCTGACACATCACAGATGTTTCACAAAAAAATCTGTTGGATAAACAAATTAATGAAGGACTAAATAAATGAATAAATAGCCAAGGAAAAATATGACTAAAAATTTAGACAATCCAGATTTCAAAATTTCTGTCATACTGACAAGTTAGAAATTCTAAGTTTTTAGTTAACTGAATGTGTCACTTAAGGGCATATTATCAAAGATGTTTTAAAAGGTGTCCAGGCCCTGGCTGGTGTAGTTCAGTGTACTAAGCACAGGCCTGTGAACCAAAGCATCACTGGTTTGGGTCCCAGTCAGGGCACATGCCTGGGTTGCAGGCCATATTCCCAGTATGGGGTGTGCTAGAGGCAACCACACATTGATATTTCACTTCCTCTCTTTCTCCCTCCCGTCCCCATCTCTCTAAAATAAATAAATAAAATCTTAAAATAAAATAAAATAAAATAAAAGGTGTCCAGCTTGCCATATAGATGAGGATGCTAAGAAGCTACACCCGGATTAAGGAGCTATATGTCCAAAATCGTAGTAGCCATTGCTTTGATTCCTAAATGTTGAAACAGAAACTCGTCTCAGACAAACGTGACAATATGAATCTAAGTTTAGGACAATAACAAAAAAAGAGCTGTTATTAAAAAAATGCACGTTTTCCACTATACAGTATTTCGCACCTAAAAAAAAAAATTCAAATACCAAATAGGAATGAAACTATAGGAACAAAGGTCCAGAATCAACACAAATATTTTTAGTTCAATTGTTAAAAACACGTCTCCCCAAACCCCAGACATTGAACGTAAACATAAATTATTAATAGTGTAAAAATAAAGTGTATCTAAATACTAAATATTGTTTGTTCACCAAATACAGCAAATTTTAAAAGGTTAACATTAGATGTATCCAGTTAGATGAATTTTGGATCCTAATTGCAAAAATTTATGTGTATGATGAGTCAGGAAGTGACAGACACTGTGCTTTCATATTTTCATTTTTTAATAAAAACATAATATGATCACTTATAAAAGTAATGTGAACAAAAATATGTATTCATTTCCTGACACACAAAGAAATCAGGATCCTTACTGTTTAACTGTATAAAACTTTTCTTCTTTAGGCTTCTTTGCTATAAAATATAATATCAGTTCTATTTTGCAAAATGTTGAGAAAAATATTAAACATCTACATTTCCCCAATTGCTGCCTGGACATTAGAGAGCAAGTTGTGGCTGAGATGAGAGTTAAGATACATCAAGAATTCCAGGTCAGTTAACAAATCCAGGCATATACTGTCGGGTTCACATATTCCTTCACATATATATTATTCAGATATCATAGGCCATATACAAGGATAGTTAAGAGCTTTTGTAAAATATACTGGAGTCATACAGCAAATATGACACTTGGGCTAGTTACTTAAACTATATTTGCCCCCTTACCATCTTTACAACCCCTCCAAAAAAAACCAAAACCCTATCTCAATAGAGTTTACAAAAGATGTTATGTATGTAAAACCTGCCACCAAGTAACAACTAGGTAGTAGCTTGTTACTTAGTAGCAGGTTCCCCAGGGGCACTGGGATTTCAACGGCCACATAAAGCATAGTATTATAAATGTCCTATCAATGAATGAAAAGTTTCCATTAATAAATATTGAATGACAGGATGGTTGTGGAGATAAACTACAAAATAAGGGTTCCAGTCATCTGGAACACATTCATTCTGCCAAATCAGGCATGATTTTAAGAATTTCATTCAAAGACACAGATTCAGGTGTGGCGGCCCCATAGCCGCAGTTGGTTAGCTCGAGGTCCTGATACACCAAGGTTGTGGAACAACAAATCGATGTCTCTCACTCTCTAAAAATCTACTTTAAAAAAAAAAACTGTTTTAATGCTAGACACGACTTTATACTCAGGTGTCATAAGGGTGAGTCATGCACTGCCAGTGAAAACTCGATATACTCTTTAAAGAACTGTATTATAAAGAGGCACCTTACCATGATTTAGGTGGAAGGGAGAAAAGAGTTGAAAGTCATATTTAAAAATATATATATAATCTCCTGTCCTACAAATCAATATCAACACAAGAACAAACCAATCTACATAGTACATTTTGTCTCCCTTTCTTAACAAGATACGGAATAGGGAAACATTAAGATAGGTTCCCTGGAGAGGGAACTCCAGGGTGATGGAAATGTCTCATGTCTTGCTTGGTATAGTAGTTACACGGTATATTCCCTGCCAAAACAAAAAATACTAAACACTTAAGAGACATTAAGTTTTATTATATAGTAATCACATCATCACATTAAAAATGTACTCCCTGCTTTGATGAATGTGAAGTGTATTAGAAGGAACATAAGCAATCTATAGTCATTATAAAATGAACAGAGTCTTATCACTTGCAAAACATTTTAAACAAGATACTCTTTTAACTTTCCAGCGATAGGTGATGCGAAATAAATTCTTTGAGGTCACAGACTACTAGAATTCCCCTTGTTCTCATTTGCTACAGCACCTAGGAATGGACATACATCTTTTAGCCACATTGCACCTGCTGTTCAACATTTGCCTTTGAGAACTGTCAGTGGAAAATCTACGTGTTTGTTTCATTGCTTGTCTTGTGTATGCTTGGAGGAAAAGAGCCTAGGAGGAAGTAGGACAGGCACTGGTCCTTTCCACTGGAAATCTATCACCCAGCTCTCAGCTCTAGGACTAAAATATGCATGGCCTTTTGGGACAAGTCGCTTAAGTATTCTGAGCCTGAAATAATCTCCTATCACGGGGCTGTCATGAGAACAAAGTGGAAGTACTTTGAAAAGTCAAAGCAATATATTATTCTAAAGTGCCATTTGGTTGATGTGTTACTGTAGCCGAGTCAAACCCCAGACTTAATCCTGGCATTTACATTCCTTAGGAAACTCCCATACCTATCTCCTTTGAACTACAATGAAACGTTCATTACAGTTCAGAACAGAAACAGGTAGGTTACACCCACTCTAAAAAAGAAAAAAAGGGTGGGGTGGGAAGGTGAAGTCGCTTCCACTGCCAAACTTCCAGAACTCATGGGCTCTAGGATTTGATCTTCCAAGACACCTGGTACGATCTAGTCGGTTTCAAAAGGGCAACACGGGACTCGGATGCAGTCTTCCTGTTCCTAATCTTGTCAACAAATCTGGAGGAAGTGAACTGCCCCCGCAGTGCCGAAAAATTGGCTCCTAAAAATCCCGCGGAGTGTTCGACAAGCGATCAGCCAGCGTTCACTGTATTCCTTCGCAGGTCTTTGGCACACACCTGAGATCGCGAGCATCCCAGGCACGCGTGGGAGCCAGGCCCGTGTTCAGGTCGTCCACCACCTCTCCCTCCCCCTGCCAGGCCAGGTACAGCGGCCTCCGGCCAGCACCCCAGTCCTGCTCGCCCATCCCCAGGGCAGCCAGCCTCACCAGCTGTTCCCGGCGGCGGGAGCTCCGATCGGTTGGCGCCCGGCGGCCCCGAACATTAACGACACTCGGGAGCCTGGCCTCGAGGCTCAGGCCCGAGGACAGACTCCAACCACCACCACACCAGCGACTTGCACAGAGCAGTTCAGCATTTTGAGCTGAGCTTCCGGAAGCAGACGGGAGGCGGAAACCGGAAGTCGGGAGCAACCATCCGTCCTCCTACCCCCCTCCCTTATGCGTTCCCCGCCTTTGCTCTCCTGTTTTTACGCACAGAGGCAAATAAAGTCAACTTGGTTTCCTACTTCACATTTATTAATTTTTTCAAATAGCCTGTAAGTTAAAACAGGGCGTAAAAACGTGGGATAGACTAAAAGTGGAACCCTCTCCGGGAATCTGCCTTTTGGTTTGGCCCGGTTGCCTTGGAGACCGGTAGCAACACCCGTAGTAAAGCTGAGGCGGCGAGGCTATGGCCACGCTGGCCCGGCTGCAGGCGCGGTCCACGGCTTTAGCGCAGCAGTACTACTTTAGGAACAGGTAAGTCACCAGTGCGCGGGTTGTTCAGAGACCTGACTTGACTTGAGGCAGTTGTTCCTCGGCAGGAGTCTCGTAATAACAGATTTCCTCACCCAATAATTACAAATCTCCCCATTCATTTGTGGCTGCAAACAACCACAAGTTTAAAAGTAGTATTAGCATACAGGGGATTTTATACATTATGGGGGGAGGGGCATACATATCAGCCTGAGATGATTTAAGTAAAAGCCCAGCACAGATAAAGTTGTAAAATGAAGTGCTCTTCTTTGACATCATCACTCCGCAATTTGCTTAAAGTTTAGTAGGCTGATTGGGGTCACCCTAGCCCCTTATCTGGGTGAGCTAGTGTGTCCTCCATACACCTGTGAATACGTGCCTCCACTATTGCACCATTGAACTCTGTTCTATGACTCATCTGTGTCCCTGAATTGACACTATCTAACCTTTTCGGGATAATCAGCATCGGTATATTAATTAGTAGAAGAAGGCTGAGGAAGGTACTAGCTTTCTTGTACTTCTCCCCACATCCGAACTTCTCTCTCAGGAAGGGGCTCTTTCATTTTAACCAAGGCCTGCTGGAAGCCCCGCCCCAGGAAGTTTTCCAACTCAAGAGATATGCCGAAACAGTGAAGTAGACGGAGGGAGAAGGAAGTGGCACCATGGACCAATGGAAAATAAGACACTAAGACAAGATCTTCCCGAGCCGTTCTTATTCTAGAATTTACCTCACCTACTACATTCTTAGCGTTAGCTGCGGGTACCTCTCATACAGCACTTAATCGCAATTCAGTTGTACATTCTGCTGTGAGGTAACATCTCTGGTCCCTCTTAACCTACAAGCAGAGAGTCATTTTTTGGCCATCTTTTCCGTCTCCCATGTCTTTCCTGGTTCCTGACGCATGCTAGCTGCACAATAATCATTTCTCTAATAAGTGAATCTTTCGATCACTCCACAGTCCTGGTTTAAGTAAACATATGAAAAAATATGTTTAAACAACCACAAGTTTAAAGTAGTATTAGCATACAGGGGGGTTTATGCCCTGTTTAAACAACCACAAATTTAAAGTAGTATTAGCATACAGGGGGGGTTATACATTATGAGGGGAGGGGCATAGATATCAGCCTGAGATGATTTAAATAAAAATAAATTTTTTAATTTTTAAAATAAAATTTACCTATTTATCATCTATAATTATTTTTGTTACTTTATTTAATGAAAATTTAAAATTACCTATTTTATATAGGTAAAAATAAAAATTAATTTTTTATTTAAAAATTAAAAGTTACCTATTTATTATCTAAAATAAAAATTAAAATGACCTATTTATTATCTATAATTATTTTTTGTTACTTTATTTAATGACTTCCAGAGTCATTCGACTGAGGAAAATGAGGTTTAGAAAGTGAGTTGCGTGCCAAACCCAGATCTCGTGCAGGTTGATGCTTCGCAGTCCACAGCTTATGTTTGGGGTAGAGGGCCTCCAGATCAAGTCTCTGCCTGGGAGTACATTCATTTGCAGCATGTTCCAGCCTCATCCTGGAATCCATAATCTCCATAAACTTAGTCAATTTGTCTCTAACTCCAATATAAGCAACAGTTCCTGATGGCGTTCCGGGTCTAATTAGACAAGTCATCCAATGGGACAGTCATCTCAGTCTTATTCTCCTGCATAAATGACAGCTTAGTGGATAGGCATGAGTCCCATCCTCTGATTCTAATTAACTGCTGATTTTTCTATTTCTCGTGGTACTCAATTCTGGCTAGCAAAACTTAGCCTTCTGCCATGTATTCAGGGATGATTTTTGTCCATACACTGTGTTCTGTGTAATTACCTGCCATTTTTTAAAGCGGGTCATTTGAAGCCGTGTTTGCATCCTTTTCACCCAGTGAAGGAGGCTCTGCCCCTCCTGCTGAACCTGCTCACCAATGTGAATTCTTTTCCCATCACGCTTGGGTTCTGCTTCCCCATGCTGGCTGCCCTTCCCCGAGGGACCTCTCCCAGGCTCTTCTGGACACCCTAGGGCCAGGCCTTCTCCCCATGGGAACACTCTCCTTTCTGTGACGTTCTCCCCACAGGTGGTGACCCACCTTGGCCACCACAAGCTCCGCCGCCCATGCTGTGTACTGCGGCCCCTCCCCACACACCCCCAGCACCAATTCCCTGCTGTCCTTGCCTACATGCTGCTTTCTTTAGGACTTCATTGTTCGGGAAATACAGTGAAGAGAAGCAAAAAGGAAAAAGTAGAAAAACAAATAATAGAGCAATTTTAAAATACACTGTAAACATATTTTTGCTCATTATCCATTGAGCTGTGAAATAATAATAATGCGGGTTATTAAGGAAAAAAAAACATGGCTTCTAACTTCCAAAATGGAGTCCTATTCCTCATCATCAAGTATTGCCCTTTTATTCTGCATGGGGTGATAATCAGAACACAAAATATCAATTAAGTGTATTTTCTGCCTTTAAGGGGGTTGGTATCCTTGAGACCTAGTAGTGAAATGATACTCAGAAAATAATAATTCCACACATCAATGTATCTTATAATACAGGGCAGCTAACATTGGAATTTTATTCTGGGTGCCTAAAACACAAGATATGATAAAGAGAAGGAAGAACTGTTGGGTTTTTAATCTAGTATTTATTCAGTTGCTAATACAGATAGGTCAGCAAAACTACAATATGTTAATGTGTAAAATGCATCACTTGCATATCAGTGAAAAGATATTTAACCACACATTATTTTCATTTTCTGTATATTGTCAGTTAATTTTTGGCTACTAATGACATACATGAATACAGCGTTATTCAGGGTTATAGAACTTATTTCTAGTTGAAGATGATGTGACTGGAAACTTCCAGCTTTTTCTTGATGTTTTATTACATTCCTGGTAATACTTTGGGTCTTTCATCATTAATAATTCATTTAGTATTCATTGTAATAATACTGATCATAATAAATTTATTTCAAATTCGCATAGATGTCATATTTTATTCACTGCTATAGGATTTTCATTGTAATTTGGAACTAATTAATATACCATTAAAATAAAGTGTTACCCACATTTTTCATTTTAAACATAAAATGTCTAGCAGTTCATGACATATTGTAGGAATGTTCAGCATCCCAGCGGTAATTCAAGTATCTGTAAATTTCATTTTTAAGCAGCTAAAAAAAAGGGGGCAACAGATAAATGTGCATAGAAGTCAAATTTCAGCACATAAGTTAAAACTTAGCAGTAAGTTAACTATGAATTACTTTTTAATGTTTCCCTTTAAAGTGTATAGTTCTGACAAGTATAGTACAATATGCATGCTTGTATTTTATACATTATTATTTATCACTTCAAAATGAGACAATTTAATTTCATTCTTGGTTATGTATTATATGTTAGCATTATTACCAGGAGAGATTAAAAAATGTAAACTCAAAGCAGATAATTCCATTACTTATCTTTTGCATGTCTAAGGGCAATTATAAGTAAAGGGTAAATTCAAGGTATACATTAGTTCAGAATAATATCAGTTGCACCTGTATACATTCTTCATATTTTTTCTTCCCCTTTTGTAAAGGTAGTCAGTTGATTATTGGTGGGAAAGAAGAGGCAGACATGCTCAGTAATTTAAATAGAGTATATTAAGAAGGAAAACAGATCTAATATAATATTAAATGTTAACGGTAAAAAATGGGTTAAATAACCACAAGAAGTCGTTTTACCCCATTATCATGGTTTTCACTTCTCATCAGCCTTATTGAATGAAATCACACATTCTTTCTTTATCTTCATCATACTCTTCTTTGAATCGCTGGCTCTGCTGGACAGTGTGTTGCTGTATCTTTTCTATTTTTGCCCCAAATGATATTTTGTTTCCTGTGCGATCGCATCTTACTACTGGCGAGGATAATGTTTTAAAGAAGAAATGACCAATTGCCTCTCACCCCACCGCCCCTTGGGACACTGACATCTCCGTGACTTCTTCATGGCTTGTGATGCTACTCATTCACAAGCTCCTGCTAGTTTCTCACTTACGTCTGGGACACTGCAGAGAACTGCTCTCTTACAATTGGGCCTCCTCTCCCCTAAATACAGCCACATGTAATACACACGTTAGTACAAAATCAGGCTTTTTCTGTGTATGCATTCCCATATACATACATTTAAAATTATTTTACAAACATGGACACTTAAAATACTGTACTATAATATCTTTTTTCCACACCACAACATGTTATGTCTCTCTGTTTAAAAACATGTTGACCTTCTTAATTTTTTGTAAGGATGGGGAGTCAGGGTAGGCTCCCTGGAGGAAAGGACTCGAAACATGGAATACCTAAGATGTTTCAGAATACCTCTGTCTCCCACATGGAATACCTAAGATGAGTCCAGAGCCCTCTTAGGAGGCTCAGTTGGTTGGAGCATCCTCCCTCCCATACACCAAAAGGTTGTGGGTTCAATCCCCAGTCAGGGCACATAACTAAGTTGCAGGTTCAATCCACGGTCAGGGTTCATATATGAGGCAATCACTTGATGTTTCTCTCCCTTCCTCCTTTAACTGAAATGGACTTTCTGAGAATTCTATCTAGAACTGGCACTCTGTGATAGGTTTATTTTACTTAGAGGCAATTCATTGAACTGATGCATTGAATGAAATGTGTAAGATTTTAATGTTGCGTGATGTAGTGGTATTTAAATAGTAAATTCAAATAGTTCGTAAATTCAAAATTTACGAACTATTTGAAGAAATAGTAAATTCAAAAAATGACAATCTAGCACAGTACTGTTTTATTTCCTTATAACATCACTTGGAAATTAATTAGTTGCAAAATAAGTGATTATAAAAATAAAAAAAGTAAAGCTGTTGAAAGCACATGGCCCCTCAGAGAAAGGTTAATTTTTGAAACATAGCTCATGATTTCTGCATGCTTTTTTCTATTTAGTATTTTAACTTTATTTAAAATGATGTTTGCATGACAATGATCATTTTGGAAGAAATTATAAAGATCAAGTTCAACAGATGGATTTGCTTCAGAATTATATTCATCAGTAATGAAAGGCTTTCACTAATGAAATACTGTAATTTTTTTTAAGTGTTGTGGATGCATTTAGGAAAAAGGAGAACGACGCAGCCGTCAAAATCCAGAGCTGGTTTCGAGGATGTCGAGTTCGGGCCTATATCAGGTATACTGATTTTGTCCCGGAACACTCAGATACTCATAAAAATAAATTCCTTACAAAATGCAATTCAGGCATGTAGGCTCATTTCCCATCATCTTTTATGTTACTTGTAATGAAGTTCATAAATTATATGATAGTCTTTTTAAAATATCACCTTTTTGGGTCATCTTTTCTTACATATCAAAAAACTAAATTATATTCACCAGTTCTCAACTTTGAACAATTCTCTTAATATTATAAACATAGCTGATAAAATTCTTCTCTTCAAATTCGATAGGATGTGACAGATCACTGGATTGTATTTATAGCAGTTAATGCATTGACTGGTAAGAAGAAAAAAGGAAGCTATTCCAATTTTTTACAACAATTTGGTAGATAAACGCTGATATCAGAATGATGCTATTACTATTGCCAAGAGATTGAAGTTGATTCCTGACAGTTCCACTGTTTAGTCAGTGCTCAAACTTTCCTTCAGTTTGCCTTTAATTCTAAACAAATATTTTCCTAGATAATATGGAGGAAGACTATGCCCCATCGGTAATAATTCAGAATGTGGGCAGTGGATTATACTATATATGGCCTTTCATTATTAGCTACAAGGAACCAGACATGCAAATGAGGGTGTGAAGGTTTCTCCTTTGTTCACAATAAACTAGGAGCTTGGCAGCCAAGAGAGTCTTTTTGAATTCCGCAGGCTGGGTAATATAAGGAAGGGACAAGGAGGGAACTATTCTTTGTCCTCAAGAATTATCTCTAAATTCTTTTTTTTTTAACAATCTTTTTTTAAATTTTTTTATTAATTATGCTGTTACAGTTGTTCTATTCTCCCCTTCATTCCCCTCTACCCTACCCCCCCATCCCCACCGTTACCCCCCCTTTAGTTTATGACCATGTGTCTCAAGTCCTTTAGATTCTATATTTCCCATGCTATTCTTGCCCCCCCCATCTATTTTCTATCTACTGTCTATGCTACTTATTTTCTGTACCTTCTACCCCCTTCTCCTCCTCCCACTCCCCTGTTGCTAACCCTCCTTGAGACCCTCCTTCATTTCTATGTTTCCACTCCTGATCTAGCTGTCCTTTTAGTTTGCTTTTGTTTTAGGTGTGGTTGTTAATAACTGTGAGTTTGCTGTCCTTATAGTGGTTCACATCAACAGTGCCTGGCTTATTTCTGAACACATCACAGTGACCTATCCTAGAATCTTTTTATTTATTTTATATTTTAAAATATATTTTATTGATGATGCCATTACAGTTGTCCTATTTCCCCCTTCATTCCCCTCCACCCTGCACACCCCCTCCCCTACCATTCCCCCGCCTTTAGTTTATGTGCATGTGTCTCAAGTTCTTTAGATTCTATATTTCCCATACTGTTCTTACCCTCCCACTATTTTCTACCTACCATCTATGCTACTTATTTTCTGTACCTTCTCCCCCCTTCTCCTTCTCCCACTCCCCTGTTGCTAACCCTCCATGAGATCTTCATTTCTATGGTTCTGCTCCTGATCTAGCTGTCCTCTTAGTTTGCTTTTGTTTTAGGTGTGGTTGTTAATAACTGTGAGTTTGCTGTCCTTTCACTGTTCATATTTTTTATCTTCTTTTTCTTAGATAAGTTCCTTTATATATAAGGGCTTGGTGATGATGAACTCCTTGAATTTGATCTTATCTAAGAAGCACTTTATCTGCCCTTCCATTCTAAATGAAAGCTTTGCTGGATAGAGCAATCTTGGATGTAGGTCCTTGGATTTCATAACTTGGAATACTTCTTTCCAGCCCCTTCTTGCCTGTAAGGTCTCTTTTGAGAAATCAGCTGACAGTCTGATGGGAACTCCTTTGTAGGTGACTATCCCCTTATCTATTCTCTTCCTGCTTCTAGGATTCTCTCCTTCATTTTAATCTTGGCTAATGTAATTATGATGTGCCTTGATGTGTTCCTTCTTGGGTCCAACTTCTTTGGGACTCTCTGAGCTTCCTCGATTTCCTGGAAGTCTATTTCCTTTGCCAGATTGGGGAAGTTCTCCTTTATTATTTGTTCAAGTACGTTTTCCACTTGTCACTCTTCCTCTTCCCCTTCTGGTACCCCTATAATTCAGATGTTGGAATGTTTAAAGATGTCCTGTAGGTTCCTAAGCTTCTCCTCATTTTTTTTGAATTCTTATTTCTTCATCCTTTTCTGTTTGGTCATTTTTTTCTTCCTTCTGGTCCAGTCCCTTGATTTGAGTCCCAGTTTCCTTTCCATCACTATTGGTTTCCCTCATTTCAATTAGTTTAGCCTTCATTTGTTCCTCTAATTTGTGACTAAAATCAACCAGTTCTGTGAGCATCCTGATCACCAGTGTTTTGAACTGTGCATCTGATAGGCTGGTTATTTCTTGATTGCTTAGAAGTATTGGCTCTGGGGCTTTGAGCTGTTCTTCTTGAGCCATAATGTTTTAGTCTGTTTGCACCTGTTACTTATCAGGGGCGGAGCCTCAGGTGTTCACCAGGGCGGGACAACCCAGGTCACTGGGTTGGGGCACTGTATGTGGGGGTGAGAGGGGCAATAGCGGTCCCCTCTGCTGCTTCCCGCTGCTGGGGCCTGTGTGGTCTGTCTCACTGCTCGCTCCTTCGCCTGGTTTATCTGCACGGGAATGTGTGACCACGGTCAGCCTGCCGCCTTGCGCCCTCACTGGGTCTGCCCGTGGCAACCCCACACCTGGGATCTGCCAAATGCCTCCCGTGCACCTGAGTCAGTCTGGCCGAGTTTCCCTGCGCAATCCCACTTTGCCAATCGCTGGCTCCGCCCACTTACCAGTCTGGCTGAACGGTTCATTGTTGTCGGCCTTCCTTATAGTTCAATTTTCTGTGTTTTGGTTGTGTTTTTTTTTTTTTACTAAAACGTTATTGTCTTTAAACTTGGTTGTGCAAGGAGGCACAGTGTTTCCACCTACGCCTCCATCTTGGCCGGAAGTCCCTACCTTAGAGTCTTAACAGCGAAAAATATTTTAGGGAGTAAGTATTGAAGAATAATTGAAAACTTTTAAAAACTTTAATCAAAAGCCCCAAGGAAATACTAAATAGTTATCTATGCCTTTTTCCTGCTTCTAGGAATTATGAATTACACAATGATAACGCCCCACTTTTTGAAAGTATACATCAATTTGGCTTTGAAGTTTCTTTTTTGAATTGCAGGAAGGTATAGTGTAAGCAAATTTTCAGAGATAGTTTTGTTTCAGTGAATGTGTACTAACAAGCGTATTTTTCACTCAGGTATTTACACAGAATAGCAACCACTGTTCAGAAATGGTGGCGAGGTTACTTAGGAAGACAACATTGTCAACTCATTGTAGAGGTAAATATTACATAATTTATATGTATTAGCATTAAAATGATTCAACATGCCATAACTTATTCACTTCAGCCATATTTATAGGTAATTTTAAAGTTATTTATGGTAAGTTTATAAGAATAAAACTGGATTTATTTTTAGTATGTGATCTTTTTGGAGAGGTGTTTTCTGATTTTTTCCATAGAGAACCAATGACTGATTTCTTTGCACCCAAACTGTACCCAGAGGTTTTAGTTTTGTTAAAATACCTTTCACAGTATATGCATTTATATGTACTCAGTCATTGATGGTTTTCTCTACTTTCTAGATGGTAAGTAGACACTGTAGCCTGTGCATTTTTGGATCACCAGCATTTAGGCTAATTCATGACCAATGCCATAGCACAGTCAATAATTATGAGTTAAATTGAAGTGCCCCAAATTAATTCTACAGAACCTAAAAATATGAGTTTTCCTCTGTGCTGTTTACCATTCTCTATTATTGACTGTTGGAATATTTTAAAGATTTGCCTTAAGAAATATAGCATTTAAGTCTATCTATAACCACTGATAGACTTGCAGAACCATACAGTAGCATGCCAACTAATAGCTAGGTTGAGTTTTAGGAAATTAAGAAAGAAAAGGTAATTTTCTTGATACAACATGGAAAGGCTTCTAATCAGTGGCCCACTTCATTAATCTCCTGAGTTGTTTCTATTTTCTAATCTAATAGTTTGAATTTGTTCTCCATCTCTTCTTGATTAGTTGCATCGAAGTGAAATTAAAATATATAGAGAGGGTAAAGAAAAACAGAAGTCCATAATTAATTGATAAGAGTTCCCCTTTAGAGAGACAATTTTTAAAACATATCACTAAAGTACAGGGACTACTTAGAGGAAGATTCTAGTATCTTAGATTTAATTAAATAAATAGAGAATTCAAACAATAATGCTGGCAAATGTACTCCCCCTGATATGTTCCTTTATTCAGGTACATGGTACAACCAATTAACCAGAAATCTAAGCCGGAGAATCGCTCACTGTAGACTTTCCCACCTCCTTTTCCCTGAATTCTGTGTCCTATAGGTCATGAAATCCTCTCCACTTTTCCCACAAAAGTCTCTTGATTCCAATCTGAACTTCATCATTTTGTTCCCGTGCCTGTGGCCGTGCTCCTCACCGTAGCCTAGTGCATCAAGTTCACCCTCTCCAGCGTGGCAGGTCTGGTTCTTCATGGTCTCGTACTGCTTCTTACTTCTCGGTGCACCTGTGTAAATACACTTCGGACACGTGAAGCTGTCCAGTCCACGCATCGTTCTGCAGGATTCCTGCAGATGCTGTTTACTCTGCCTGGAATGTCCTTCTCTCCTCCGACATGCTGCCTATTGGTCTGAATCCCTGCTTATCATTAAAGACTTTCCTTAAGCCTGAGCCTACCCTGATCTCCTGAAGCTGAGCAGGATGGGAGGCTTGGTTCCTTCTGGAATCCACATTGGTGCACCACATTCTTTATTTGCCTCCCTCGTCTGAATGGCAGAGATTGTCCTCTTTATTACTGTGTCTCAGACGCTTCACAGTGAACGTTGCACAGACAGCCCGCAGACATTTTTGCTACCCGGATCAAGAGATGATTCACAGGGACGTAAGTTGGAAGAGTTTTGCTACGGTCAACATAGCTGGTGATTGGTATCAACATGCATTACAAGTACTCACCTCCACTTTCTCATAAAACAGTGATTCATCCCCAACCCATTGACTCTGGGCTCAGCAGTATATTGTGGACAATGGGACAGGTGTTACCTGCAAGGGGAGGCTGGAAGTGGCTTTTTCTCTCCCTTTCCTGAGCTGAGATGAACAGACCAGCAGAGCCTAGTAACAAGGGAACTCAGCCCACTGTCGTGTGAGGGAGACAGAAACTTTTTGTTCTGTAAGCCACTGAGGCAGCTGCATCTTTGTCTCAGCAAAGCTGGTGAGTGGTTACAGACAGCGACAGAACAGGTGGAGATTATACTGGGAAGGGTGAGTTTAGCGAAGCTTGCAAGATGTTGTGAGATCTGAGTCTGTGGTGATGCTAGGACACCTCCGTGTGGTGGCATCCAGTAAGGAGATTTCGCTCTCTCTGCAGAGTGGCTGGAACGCCGTAATGGGCATCCAACGGCTGCTCATGAAAGGGAACTGTTGAAAAGGAGCTTAGACGAAGGGTCACAGCTGGAGACAGAGGTTGTGGAGCCATCCTTACAAGACGACAGGATTTGCTACCCGATGGAGAAAGTAGCCAAGCAGTGAGGCAGGGGGCCAGGAATGGAGGCTTGTGCCATGCTCGCAGTAGGACTTAGACAGAAGAAAGGGAGTTACAGGGAGATGATCAAATGCAAGGCAGAGACACAGTGTCACAGGAAGCAGAGGAGAACACCGATGGACAAGGCATTGTCAGCGGTCTGAGATGTGGCAGGGATCCAACAGAGAGTGGACTGGGAGGAGACAGAAGTCCTGGGATCTCTCGAGACAGGTTCTGCATTTGTAGACAGCTTCCCTTTAAGTTCCACCACCCCTGAATATTTCCATCCAGCTTTTACGCAACTTTCACAGTGACACCAGCTAGCTTAGCCAGCCCTGATGTGGCTCTCGGTCTCCAGGACAGTGCCCCCGTTGACCCCAGGAATAGCAGCATTCCAGTCTTTCGTGACCTGAGTCTCTCCCCCTTCCTGGATGACTGTTGCGTCTGCTTCTGGAAATGTCCAGCCTCCACTTCGGACCTTCCTGCTGACTGTCAGGCTGCCGTGTCTGGCAACATAACCCCCAAGTGCCCATCAATTCGCAGCCTCGAAAACCTGTTCCTCTCAGTAAGGATGGGCACTGCTTCTTCCTTTTCATTAACAAAGAGCTCGTGGTCGCCTGGTGTGCGTGCTCGTGCACACATTTCACCCCTGTGGACTCTGGCCATTGTTTTACCGCTTTCTGCACTTCCCCTGGGACACTCCCGTGGTCCTATCGTGCCAGGATCCTTCTTGTTTTCAACTGTGTAATGCTCTACGCAGCTGGTCCCTTCTGCTCCTGACTTTATTTCATGAATGGTGACATGAAAATGGTCATCCCTGCAGGCGACAGTACCAGACACATGTGGAAACACTGCTTCCTGTCCTTTTTCAAGAGTTCTGGCACTTTTGAGTGTTACCTGGAGGAATTAATCAATATAACCTGTACAGGACAGCTGTGTACATCTTCTCTTTTTCTGTTTCCTTCTCTTTTCTATAACTTACTGTAATATGGTATACACTATGTTTAAGATAAAATACGCTGTTTTTTCATCACCACGCTCTGAGAGCAAGCAGCTAAGTATGAACATTACCCTAATGTACATGATTAATTCTATATGCATCACCATGAAGTAAATATATATAACCGTAGTCCCAAACTGCTTGATGGCATTTTTTTTAAATCGAGATCATTCAGTGAATAACATATGTATGGCAACCCCATTGATAGAATTTAATTGAAAATTTTTAAGGCATTAGCAGCCTTATGGTAGAAACATTTTATTTATAAAGAATTGTTATTTTAGGGCCCTGGCTGGTGTAGCTCAGTGGATTGAGCGTGGGCCTGCGAACCAGACAATCGCGGTTCGATTCCCAGTCAGGGCACATGCCAGGGTTGCAAGCCGGTTCCCTGCAGTCCAGTTCCCAGCAGGGGACGCACGAAAGGCAACCATACATTGATGTTTCTCTCCCTCTCTCCTTCCCTTCCCCTCTAAAGATAAATAAATAAAATCTTTAAAAAAAAAAAAAAGAATTGTTATTTTAAAAAATCAGTTTTCAAATTACAAAAATAATCCACTTTATTGCTAAGAATCAAGGCTTACAATATTTATACTCTGCTCACCATTTTATGGCTTCTTATGAAGTTTTTCATTTGATTAATGTTTGAAAGAGTGCTAATGGAAAAGAATTTTATTAACTTTAAATGGGACATAGGCTGCCACCCACTATCACATTCTACTGTATGTTGTCAGGATAAATGCCAGCAGGGTTTTTACTGGTTTGTAAAAATAAATAAACTGTTGGTCACTATTTTTAAAACTGATGAGCTTGACATGCTTGCCTCTGTCTCTTTACTAGATTAGCAAATGTTCCTTCCATAGATGAGCAAATGCCCAACTCTCTATAATTTTTATAGGACTTCCAAATCAGTTATGAGTCAACAAGGCAACATTTATCACCCATTAGTGTCAGAGCCTAAAACTAAAACATAATATATATGTTTTTTCTTCAGGGTCTTCCTTTTAAATAAATACCAAAGTCTGAATAACTTCAAACTCGAATTTACTAATATTCATTTAAAACTACATTAACATATTTTCATTGTAATTATGACATGATTATATGAATGATCACCAGCTTTTAAATATTATGTTAACAGTAACTGTGAGAAATAAGGTACTTGGCTTTTAATTTTGGGGGTGGAAAAATAAAGGTTGTGTTAAAAATCAGCCGTTGAAAATGGCCAAGTTGGTACCAAGGTGCCAGTGAGCAAGGCCAAGCATGTGCAGGAAATACTCACGATGATTTGACAATGACTCACATTCATGATTCTGCGCCAACTCACGAGGCGAGGACGACACTGAAGTGGAGACTAATGAGGCTCAGGCTCCTCGGGCCTGCGGTCCCTGCGGTCCCTGTGGTCCCTGTCTCTGGGGGGTCCCTTGTCGTCACTTTACTATGAGTATTTTCTCTGCCCACTCATTGTAGCAAACAAGGCCAGCTGATCTGGTCAATGTTATAGAGCCCTATTATTCCAAAAGGTCTCACATAGGGCTTTTTTTTGGGGGGGGGGGGCCTTTTTTGATACTTTCAAAAGCAGCTGGGCTACAGAATTGAGGAGAGGTGCAACATCAGTCGCTGGTTACATGAGACTGCTCTGTTGGAATCAAAGTGCCCTCCCACCCTTTGGCTGTGATGTTCAGAGTGCTAAGGCTTACAGACAGATGCATCTCTTTCCTCTTCGTTCAGAACAAAATTTAACCTCTGAGACATTTTCGGATTTTATTGAGAGTTAAGCTCTTACCTCTGACAACATGAGTGATCGAGTGACCAGCATCCCTGGGTCCCAAGCCCCCTTATTTCATTGTAACCTGCACAGCAGCCCTAGGAAGCGTGGAGCGTCCACTGTGGAAGGACAGAAGTCAAGACTGGGAGGCCTTCGGGAACTGTCCAGAGCCACGCAGCTGCTGGGAGCAGCATCAGGATCTGAGCCCCGCTCTGTGGTCTGAAAGCTCACGCACCTCACTGACGCTAACTGAACAGCAATACGATAAACATAAGAAATACATTCTTCTGAACCACATTTTTTTCAAATCTACAATTTACCAATTTGTTTCTTCTGTATAAAAATATTTAATGTGTGTGCCTGCCTTGATATGACTAGAAAAAAATATGAGTTTAAATATTTTTGAATTCACCTCCAACACCAAGAATTATGCCTTGATTGTTGCAACAGAGAAAGAGAATTTAACATGAAGTAACACCATTGTGTTCATTTGTAAATAACATATTGCAGCCAACTGTTTCTTAATTGCTCAGACTGTTGACAAATAATCCGGCCCTGCTGCTCAGCACAGACAATTTGCTTTGGATGAGACTAAGCAATTCAAACAGCACTAATGGCAGTGAAATTCTTTTCTATGAATCCCCGTGTGCTGTAGGGGAGCAAACCCCTGTGTAAGAGGGCAAGGCACTCATCCCTGATTTTCCTGACCACCTATGACCTGGGCTCAAGTTGTTACAGTCCAATGAGTTTTGATTGAATAAAAAGAGGTAAAGTTGCATTGGGGGTTGAAAAAAAATACATGCATTTCATTCCTTTACTATTTATTGTCCTGTCCTAAAAGTGTTGATTTTACATTTTTAATTAAAAGATGGGACAGATACAAAAGCCTCACTTAAAACAGTATTTTGATGAGATAAGTTATGGTCCCAAAGGGTGATTTGCTGCAGTGGAGTTTTGTGTGTTAATGTAGACACGCTCGTCTCTCCTGAAAAGAAGCCAAGACGTCAGAAAGTCTTCCCTGTATCAGGGGATTGGCGGTAACATGATGTCATTGTATTGATGATTTTATGGCGTTAGAATGAACATCAAATGAAACAATGTATTCCCGAGGATTACTCGGGAGGCTGCTGAGTCTGTAACATTTTGTACATTTGGTTGGAAGGCACCATTCTGCCCCGTCACTGCCTACGTATCCTTGAACGATTTCGACTGAAGACAGCATTTCTCTGAATTTTTCATTAAACCAGACGTCTTGAAATATGAATTCCTTTTATGTTTCTGTGAGTTTTGGCTAAAAGAACCCCAGTGAATAAATCATACAATACTGCGTGTCACCAGCACTTGTGAATATTTCTGCTTTGTTATTCTATTCTCAGCAGAGCGCCATTGACTGTCCAACTCAGCGGAGAGCGTTTTATGGTCATGTATCTCCATTAGCTCCTACTTTGACTGCCATAGATTTTTCTGGTTAGGCCTGCATTATGTATTAGGAAGCCTAGCTCTTCAATACAAAGTTTGATTTCATTTTTCTAAGCCCAGAGCTCTTATTATGTATTATGTATCAAGATTCTTATCTTTTATATGTAAAAATAGGCCGCACTGTCTTTGTGTAACTGAAATGTATGCCATCTTTTTTTTCTCTCGATTCACAGATAGCATATTGTGCTCTGAAGATGAATGTCTACAATGCAATGGCTGTCAGGGTAAATATTTCTTCACTTGTTAAACAAATGAAAAGTCAATTGTGCCTGGAATTCGCTTTTAATAAAATGAGCAAGCCAGAATAATGCAAATTTGATTGATATGCTAATGGTAAAGAGAGAACAGAGTACATAGTTAAAAAGTTAGCTGTCCTAAATAATCCTGGCAGTATTAGAAATTAGAGTAAAATGTAAAACATGTAATTATCAATGCTTATGTTTTAGAATGTTAAATATCTCTGAGCCATAGCTGGGGAAAGACTGTAAATATTAATGAAGCAGTATATTAGTTCCCATGTCACAGAGAATATTGTGATAAATAGATGAACACGGTTCTGGAATATAAGATTCCAGCCCAATACAAATCAATTAGAAATCATTCACATGATTTAACAGTAATAAAGTCAGTTTCCAGCTTAGAAGTTTTATTTCTATCATTTCTATGTTCATCTTTATGTGTTATTCTCCTAATGGAAAGCTGAACTTCGTGATTATGGGGCCAGCTTGTTTTTGCACAGATTTTGGGAATGGGCACAGCAAAAATACTTTTTCTTGTCTCAGACAATATGGTAATAGCTTAAGTTGCGAAACCATTATAAATGGAGAAGGTGCTTAAGCAAATTTCATTAGTGTCCTGAAAATCTACATTTCCTTATTATATTTTCTTTCATGAATCTGCCAGTTCTGCTAATCGTGGATTTCACGTGGGGTGAAAAAGCCTTCTGAAAGACCCGTGGGGCACTATGGCAGGTGAATCGACATTGTAGTGACTGCTTTCCCTGCTTCGGGAAGGGTGCTTCCTCGGCAGGTGTGAGCACACCTGGACTCTGGTCTTCTGTGTCTCTCTGTCCATCGCTATGCTCTGTAGTTTAAAGGACAGGGAATCAAGAGGAACAAGTAGGTCTTGCTTCTTTCCCAGAGCCCCAGGCACAGACTCCAGCTGCAGCAGGAGTAGTATTGGCCTTTCCTAGTAATATAGTAATATATTAATACAGGAGAACAGTTTGGTTTTTCTCTCATGTCCAGATGGCTGCAGTCTGGGAGTTTGGGAGGTTTTGATTCTTGAAGTCAGAAGACTTAGCCTCTGAGCCTAAAACAGTATTAGATGCTTTCATCCTGCTTACCTATTGTCAGATGTATCTGCAGAGTCAAAAGCAGTACATGACTGGGCCCCTAAAGCAGCTGATGACCAAGGCTTTAGACATCTTCCTAAGTCACCACAGAGAGCGAGGTTAGAAAAACGCATTCTTTCATTTATTATTTAGCCCCAAACCTTCATTTTGAATTCTAATCTACTTGAATCATTAATATTCCTTTTCCTTAGACTAAGAAACTAAGAAATCCTCATCAGTGCAAGCCACTTGGAAGGCAGAGTGTTTGACTTACTCCAACATTGTAATAAAGCTACATTTCCTAACAGCATTCCCCAAGGTCAATTTATCTTTGATTGATGTCAAGGCCAAAGTTGAAATTGACCTGAGCCTTATGACCCTGGACAATGGCACAGTTTAAAAGATCCTCCCACCCTTTTGTGTTCTGGAAATAGCTTAATGCAAAAAGAACAAAGAAAAATAACATCCAGTGTACTAACTTTTGTACCATAGGGGGCCCAGTAGGAGACAAAAGAAGGGAAAACCTATTTGAAGAAATAATGGCTGAAAACTTCCCTCCCTGGCAAAAGAAACGATGGACATGCAAGTCCATGAAGCAAAAAGACTCAGACCACGCCACACACACACATACACGCACAAAGGGGAATATCACTCAGCCGTGAAAAGGAATGAAATCTTGTCAGTTGTGACAACATGTATAGGCCTAGAGGATATTATGCGAAATGAAATAAGTCAGAGAAAGACAAATACTAAAAAACTAAACAAATGAGCAAATAAAACACTCTGATACAAAAAAAAACCTGATAGTTGTGAAAAGGGTGGGGGGATGGGCAAAAAGGTGAAGAGGATTAAGAGATACAAACTTAGAGTTATAACATAAGCCACAATGCGGGGGGGGGGGGGGGGGTCAAGTACAGCAGAGGGAGTACAACCAATGACACCACCGTGACCTTGTGCGGTGATGGGTAGATACTGGACTTTTTGTGGTGATTATGTTGTAAGGTATACAAATGTCAGATCACTGTGTCGCCCACGTGAAACTCATATAATGTATTAAGTTAAAAAGAGCTTTGCAGTCCAGGATGAAAATAAAAGCTTCTTCCCCACCTACCTTAGATAAGAGGCACAGACATGTCCCTTTTTTACCTGTGGCAGGGCCAGACACAGCCCCTGCCACCCAAGGTTCCATTCTTCACCTCCTAGGCAATTAGCTGAACTGCTTGCCCCCACAGGTCAGCTGGAAAAACATGCTCCTTAACCGAACTGTGGTTAAGCGTCTCTCCTTCCCCCAGGCCCCTGAGGTTCAGCCAGCAGGAAGCATGACCTGAGTACCTCCTCCTGAGAGCAGATGCCTTCGGGGTCGAACCCGGAGCTCTTCCTATCTGTTATACTGCCCTTTTACTCCACTTCTCTGCCCAGGTCCTCTCTAGCCTCTTCTCATATCTTCCTGTAAAAGAAGAAACATTTTGGTCTAATTCTTGGAATTCTTGACATGCTAGCAGATGTCGTGGTCCAGTCGTCCTCTCCACTGCAGTAGTCCGCCGCCGTCACCCAGCCCTCCTCCCTGGCCAGAGTCCTTCCAGCAAAGCCTCTCCTTCCCCTGTGTGGGTCTGTCACTTATCCGACACATTCCCGGAGAGAAGGGTAGAGGTCGGAATGATCCACTGCAGACGTTCAGGCATTTCCATGAGGCCACATGCAGTACGTAAATGCTACTCCGGGAAATTTGTAACAGAAACACTTCTCTAGCGAAGATGTTTGAAAACTTCCTGCAGAGGCTTGGATGAGTTAACTTGGTGATAGACTGTGTTCCTTTGCGAGGAGTCAGGAGTGAGGCTCACGTGCGTGGAGCCCAGAGCGACCGCCTAACAGTGGTTAACACTCGATGTCAGTTGATCCCAGTCACCAGAACCGAAGCCCTTTGGAAGTGGACTTGGATAGATTTCTTTGTAAGTGGATTTTTGTAAGACGGTGCTCTGAAAACCTTGCTCTCCAAAGAGACCAGTGTGCGGGCCACCTACCTGGATGGCGAGCACATTTGCAGAGCACAGACATAATCGGATACCAGCAGCTGAAAGTTCCTTTCTCCAGTCCGCAGCTTCGCCATTCCACTTCATAAGCTCCCAGGCAACTCTGGTCGCATTAACTACCCTTTAGCTGACCTCAGTGTGGGTGGTTGGGAGTGTCGGAGAGGAAGAATTTCTAAGAGTAACAGAAGAAATCTGTTACATCCAGATAGATCTATGTGGACCCAAACCATAAGTAGGACCTTCACATGCAATAGGAAAGAAACACACTCCTGTTTTAATTCGCTTCATAGACTGAACCAATTGCATATTATGTATTCACTGTTGACTCCTTTCTCGAAAAATTATATTTCATCTTCAAGGAGGCTAGGGGAACATTTCCAAAAGAGAGGACTTTTGAAAGTTTATTTTTAGCCTATCCATTTCTAAGTAGATGTCATTTTTATAATGAGCACATTACGGGTTGTGATTTTTAATGTTGCAGATATTCATATTCTGACTTGCTGCGTTTACTTTTTAAAGGGTCACCTTTTCTCTAAAGACTTTACGATCCCCCTACCCATGTGGAATTGTTCGCTCTCTCTTTTTATGTCTTCATTTTACCATCGACATGCTTCTGTTATAGACCTGTAACATTTTATTATCCTTCCTAATTTACATGCCTGTATCCAACCCACACACACACTGTAAGTCTCTTGGGGCCTGGGGCCTATCTTCTTAGTCTTTGTATCTACTTTCTTGGCTTGTAGTAAGTGGTTAAATAGATGTCCCCAAATAAATCAATAAATGTTGGCTCTATCTTCTTAGGGCTCTGGATCTGTGTAGAAAATGATGAATTTCTAAAAATTAACCAAACTTCTAACATGAATTATCCATCTTCTTTTGTTTCCCACTTGTTTCTCAGATATTTAAAAATATGAGAAATGATTACATGCTGGCTTTCATTAAAAATGTTAAATTTATCAGATATATAAGGCTCCATCTCAGCCTCCTAAATTATTCACAATCCTATTTTTTATATTTATAAAGCTAGGAAGGACTTGTATTTAGAATAATGACTCCAAGATTAGGTAAAGATAAATAGGTAAAATAATTCATGAAAAAATATTGTCAATCTCTTATATACCAGGCAATATGTTAGGTTCTAGGGATACAAAATCCACAGAATGGATAAGACACAGTCTCATTCACACAGAAAAAGATATGCCGAAATATTAGCCTCAGAAATGGAGGGGAAGGGACCATCTGGATAACCAGGAACGTTTGCCTGGTGATGGCCAGAGACTTAAATGTTCTATCACTGTGCCAAATAGTGTATGTTCCTCCCTTTGACTCCTCCCAGTACCAAATCATTGTGAAGCAGTTAGATACGTTTGTAGAAGAACAAAGTGAGGAGTCAGGTAGAATGAACAAACAATAGTAAAGAGAAGAAACTGCACATGGAACAATTATCCAGAATATCTTCTACCAGCCAAAAATATCTAGTTAAGATATATATCCACACACACACACGCATATGTATGCAGTGACACCTAGGATGAAAACTTGGATATTAGTATTTTTTTCACCATCTTATCTTCGAAAATTTAGGAAACCCACTTTTCTGTGTTCCCTGTATAGTCTGCAGGAGTTAAGCATTCTAATTTTTTTAAGTGTAATTATGAATAAGGGTTCTACTCATATGCTGTCATATACATTTGGAGCAGCCTGACTAGGTAGTTATTAATGAATTTGTCATCCAGTCTTCATCTTAATTTTAGGTGAGAGGGCATTATCTTTCTCTCTTTTGATAACATTAAGGTTCCTATGAATTTTGAAGGATAAAAGTAAACCCAGTACAGGGAAGATCTCTTTCCACGAGCAGATAACTTTGATAAATCAAGGTTTTGCCATTTGTTTTAGTGCCTAAACTAAACATTATTTATAAGACCACTTACATTTTGATGTTACTTAATGAGGAATATGCATCATTGATTTGACTAGCTGAAGAGGTCATTTGGAAGTTGCCTGTTAACAAGCTGTAATCTGCTGAGCACACGATGACTTTGTTTAATATTATCTATTCAGAGCTGATCAATGACAATCATTGTTTTATACCAATCACTGCTGAAAGTTGCTAATTACTTTGAAGGACACAAATACTTGCCTTTTTTCTCTTTTGTTGGAAGTCGCAACCTCTTCACCTTAAAATTAAGAAGAAAGATTGTTGGCAAAAGTCACCCTGCCTCTTAAAAGTACTTTTATTAAAAATTAAAAGTTTATTCGCTAGAACTGGGAGATCAGCAGGGAATTTAGGCAAAATTCAAGATGTCTGGGCATCGCAGTAATGGAGCTGGGTTTCTGCCCAGGCTCTGCCGGTTGCTATTTGCTGGCTCTGTGTTCTTTACCAAGTTGCTGAACCTCGGTTTCTTCTTCTTTAACGTGGAGCCCCTGCCCCGTCCATAAAGCTCTCCTGGGAACACCTGCGCAGCAAGCCAGCAGGCCACCCTGGCACGTTCAGGGAGCACAGGCAATTCTAGATCCTTCTCTCCCCCTGACGGCAGTGCCTTCCCCCCACTCGAATGCTCAGTTTTTTCCAGCTCTCTGTACTCACCTCTGACAAAGCCACTTAAAGATTGATTGATTATACTTTAATGAGGGTGAGTTTTAATTCGTTAACCATCACTTACTTATTATGCGCTTTAATACCCAATTGTGAATAAAAAGATTTGTCTTGGAAAGGAGTTTTATCCTGCCTTCGGAGAGATGTCTAGGCAGTTAGGCTATGAGAGGGCTCCCCGAGGGCCCCCCACTGCCAGCTCCCTGGGCGTGGGGAGGAGCCCTCTCCGCCGGCCTCCGTAGGTGGCGCCCCTCCCAGTGGCACAGATTTCTCAGCGGGTTCCAGTTTTCGTTCATTCAGTGTCCTTTGCTTTAGCTCGATCTCACCACAAATCGCCACCTCGCTTCTTTCCTCCTCTACACTCCTGCATGCCTCTTCCACGTTTTGTGCTGCGCAGTCTTACAGAGAATGCAGTGCTGTTTTTGAGTGGTACGTGGCCTCTCCTTTGGCACTATGTGATATCCTAAAACTTTACCGTGTATCCTGAGCCACCACGATTCCTGAGGATGGATTTTTCTGTCAGTATCTTTGTTTACAAGTATTCTCTTTAATACAGCTGTTCCTGTGCACGCAAGAAGAGTATGTGAGACATTTGAAGCTACCCAGTCAACTGTACAACCTTAGGCAACTATTTAACCTAAGTGTCCATCTCCTCTTGTGTTACATGAGGCTAATAATAATTCCTCCCTCAGAATAATACTACAGTGATTAAATTAGGTGAATCAGGACAATATTCACTTATTTGCATTCATGATTTATATATGTATACATATTCCAAATGATTATTAGTTTTTCATTAGCAAAGTGGTTTGTATTAATTCCTCTCTTTGTTTGTTAGTTTCTTAGTTGTAATATGATTTTGGTTAAATTAGAAGGTGATTATTTCTAAATTGAGTATATAAGTTAAAAATTAATTTTTCTTTATTTAAAGAATTAATTTCTAAAATAAGATTATTTGAAAAATATTTGGAAAGATATCTACAGTGTTGTTACATTAGCTTCCTATTCTACTTAATTTTACTTTCTAGAATTATTGTCTCTAATTTAATCGTTCTTGCAAGCTGTTTGCATATCTTAAATTATTTTTCATCATATTAAAACATTCCTTTAAGATCTTCCCATTTAATATCTCAGATTGTAAAATGTCCTTTAAGTGGCCATATTTTAAAACAAAAGTAGAAGATCAGAATTTAAGTAAAACATCTTTTCTTGTTTATTCTTTTTTTATTTTTATTGCTTATATATATATTTTTAATTTATTTTTTTAAATTGATTATGCCATTACAGTTGTTCTATTCCCCCTTTATTCCCCTCCACCCTACCCCTCATCCCCACCATTACCCCCCCTTTAGTTTATGTCCATGTGTCTCAAGTCCTTTAGGTTCTATATTTCCCATGCTATTCTTGCCCCCCCATCTATTTTCTATCTACTGTCTATGCTACTTATTTTCTGTACCTTCTCCCCCCATCTCCTCCTCCCACTCCCCTGTTGCTAACCCTCCTTGAGATCTTCATTTCTATGTTTCCACTCCTGATCTAGCTGTCCTTTTAGTTTGCTTTCGTTTTAGGTGTGGTTGTTAATAACTGTGAGTTTGCTGTCCTTTCACTGTTCATGTTTCTTTAACTTCTTTTTCTTAGATAAGTCCCTTTAACATTTCATATAATAAGGGCTTGGTGATGATGAACTCCTTGAATTTGATCTTATCTGAGAAGTACCTTATCTGTCCTTCCATTTTAAATGAAAGTTTTGCTGGATAGAGCAATCTTGGTTGTAGGTCTTTAGATTTCATGACTTGGAATATTTCTTTCCAGCCCCTTCTTGCTTGTAAGGTCTCTTTTGAGAAATCTGCTGACAGTCTGATGGGGACTCCTTTGTAGGTGATTGTCCCCTTAGCTCTTGCTGCTTCTAGGATTCTCTCCTTCATTTTAATTTTGGCTAATGTAATTATGATGTGCCTTGGTGTGTTTCTTCTTGAGTCCAACTTTTTTGGTACTCTCTGAGCTTCTTGGATTTCTTGGAAGTCTATTTCCTTTGCCAGATTGGGGGAAATTTTCTTTTATTATTTGTTCAAATAAGTTTTCCACTGGTGGCTGTGCCTTTTCCCCTTCTGGTACCCCTATAATTCGGATATTGGAGCGTTTAAAGATGTCCTGGAGGTTCCTAAGACTCTCCTCATTTCTTTGAATTCTTGCTTCTTGACTCTTTTCTGTTTGGTCATTATTTGCTTTCTTCTGGTCCACTCCATTGATTTGAGTCCCAGTTTCCTTTTCATCGCTATGGGTTTCCTGTGGAATTCCATTCATTTCCATTAGTTTAGCCTTCATATGTTTCTCTAATTTGTGGCTATAATCAACCAGATCTGTGAGGATCCTGATGACCAGTGTTTTAAACTGTGCGTCTGAGAGTTTTGCTATTTCTTCGTCGCTTAGATTTATCTCTGGGGCTTTGAGGTCTTCCTGCGACATTTTTGGTCTGTTCTGGCCCTTTAAGTGGGAGAAGCTGCGCCTAGGACTCCCAGGTCGCTGGGTTGTGACGCTGTATGTGGGGGCGTGGTCAGAGCGGGGAAATGGCGGCGCCCTCTACCCACCGCAGCCGGTCCAACCGCCCACTCCCTCGCCTGTCTGCTGGCGCGCAGATAGGCGACCACAGTCAACACGCAGCACCGCCTCCCCACTGTCTCCTCTGCAGTCGCTCACCTGGTGGGTTGCTCGGTCGCTCACTAGGTCTAATCCTGTGTTTGGAACCCGTGCGTCTGGATTCGCGCGTCTGGATTCCGCGCCTGGGTCCGTCCGACCGGAGTCCTCCTGTGCAATCCCTCACCAAACGCCGGTTTCTCCCCTTACCGGTCGGGCTGAAGAATTTGTTGTTAACGGACTTCTGAAAAGTTCAATTTTCCGTGTTCTGGTTGTGTTTTCTGATGCTAATATTTAGTTGTCCCTAAACTTGGTTGTGTGAGAAGGCACGGCACATCCACCTATACCTCCATCTTGGCGGAAGTCCTCTTCTTGTTTATCCTTATTAGCAGTTTTCTCATCTATAAATAAAATGATAGGAGTATTTATCTTACAGGAATGTTCTGAAGATTAAATTCATAAATACAAGCAAACCTTTAGAATAGTGCCTCTCACATAATAAGAACTCAATAAATGTTAGCTATTGTCATTGTTAAAGTATTAAAAGAGCATGATGAAGATACAAGACATTTTTTAAAAATTGATAGCACCGAATTTAAAAAGCCCTTTTTAAAAATTTATTTCCATGTGACCAAATACAAGCTTCAAGTCAGTTGGTTACATAAAATCAAAAACCTGTTCGGTCGGGAAGTGGCAAAGCAAATGTTTCATCTTTCAGTAGTTCATTTTACATTTAGTATTTGTGAAACAATTATAAATGTTTGGAAATAAATGATATTCTATAAGGATATTTTGTCATTATATATTTTCTAATAAGTCTATGACTTCTCCCTCTGTTTGAAACTATATATACAGTTATATTAGTAGAAAAGCCTTACATCTGATATGAATTATCATTATCACCCATAATTACTTTTACTTTGAAGAACTATTCATGGTGTCACTAAAAGTGTTCACTGGCATATTTTATCTTTTTATGGACCTCGATAGATCCAGAGGTGGTGGCGAGGCTACAGGATCCGAAAACACTGCTTCGATTATATTTACTTGAAGGCATATCTGCGAGCTGTTGAAAGGACCAATGACACAGTTCGGTGAGTGGTATAACCACTAGTCTGCTGGTGAAGAATTTAGGGAAATCACTCAGATGTTGATCATTATTATAATTAGAAGTGATTTCTCAAACTCAGTGATATTTTAGACAGAAATGTATTGATAAGATAGAGATAGAATTCTATTTAACTTAAAATTTATTGTTATATATTTGAATATCTAGTACTCTTTACTATAAATTAGGTTATAGTGTGCCCTGGCTGGTGTAGCTCAGTGGATTGAGCATGGCCTGTGATCCAGAGGATTGTGGTTTGATTCCCAGTCAGGCACATGCCTGGGTTGCAGGCCAGTTCCCAGCAGGGGACGCACAAGAGGCAACCACACATTGATATTTCTCTCCCTCTCTCCTTCCCTTCCCCTCTAAAGATAAATAAATTTAAAAATCTTAAAACATATATTTAAATTAGATTATATTGTGCCTTGGTTCTATGGAAAATGGTTTAGCTTCAGTAAAATTAATTCATTTAAAATAAGTTTACCTATAAAATGATTCTGTTAGATATGAAGCCTTAAGTATCAGCCTCAGGTGTATTTTGAGAAACATGCTCAATAGCAAGAACTTGCATCTCAAACAAAATATCACAGAACATGATACAAAGGATGGCTTGACTGCCAGATTTTGTCCCCTTGAACTCATATGGAAGCTCACTGCCAGTACACAGTGAGCACTTGCTGTATACAAAGTGTTGTGCTAAGGCCTTTATTCTCATTATCGCCTGTGAGTTTCACAACCTGTGCAGTCGATATTATTACCTTCTCCTCAATCCCAAAAGAAATGTTTTAGTTTTGCTTTATTATGTTTAGGACTTCCCTCTAAGTAGTGATTTTCATTAGATCCTTAACTGAGGTAGAAATATTTGTATAGATGTTTGATAAAGAGTGAATAGCTATCTTAAAGTAAGGCTAAGCACAGACTATAGACAATGTACTATTTTCAATTAATTATTCTGTCGAATTCCGTGAAACTCATTCAGAGTCCATATTAAGAGTAACCTCTATATTATATTAATTTTCTTTAATGAAACCCATTTATTTACTTTTGCAAGGTATTATAATGCTACTCAACAAGACCGTTTATTTTTACTCAGAAAATAATTATAAGTTAAAGAGTGGTAGATTTTCCATTTTGATACATGAAAAATATTTGAATCTTAAACAAGTGGCTGTGTTGTAGTCAGGGTCCTCCCTCAGTGGGCTGTGGTGTCATTCATCCCAGTTATTTTTATCATTTGAACACAAAGTAACTTCCCGGGGTGTCCGTGGCGAATCGGCACGGCGAGGCGGGACAGCAGATGAGGCGCAGCCCCGTGAAGCTCTAACACATCACTGGCTGTCGGGTCAGCCTTGTTATGCTGTCCATCCTCATTTAACTATCCCACAAGATCTCTTAATGAAGTTAAGCCCCAAGTTCACTGCAATAATTCCGTGGCAAGAGTTTGTGCAATGTAACAATTCATCACTTGTCAGGAAGGCACTTTTAGTTTATACATTTAATAAGGGCATCCTCAAGCTTGGTTAATTAGAAGTGAACAGTTTGCATATTTACTAAATGCAGAGTGTCATTGCCACCACGGCCTATTGCCTGCATGAATTATTTCTCTATCTGCAATAAACAGCTGGGTAATTATTACCGCCATAATCAGATAAATTCCTTCTGTAAGGCTTTTCTTACATGGCAATTCTTTGAACTCATCCAAAGCTGAGCAAAATTTATGAACTCCAGCAGTGAGGCCACTCTTTCATACTCCGCTGTCCCTGTTCCCTATTCCAAGGACATAAGTGGGGCACTGTAGGTATTGTGTAAACAGGGACAATAAATATGATTGCCTAAAGATAATGCTGCACAAACCCCACTTAAAAAATATAATAGTCTGATCTCACCCAACTAAACAGTAGTGGTTTGGCTTTCTCTAATTGTAGCCAGATGACGGGCTCTTTTAGTAAGGGCTCTCTATGACCTAAAGAAAATAGCATTTTACTTTTCCTTCACCAAATTAGTCTGTAATGTTAACTAACTATACACGTGAATTTTTTTTCTGTTGTATCATTTTATATGTGAAGATACAACAATTACAGCAGTTAATTTAGAGGTATTTAGGTAACTTAGCAGAGTGTCTAACTTAAAATATAGTTGTATTCTTTGCTTTGAAAATAGTCTGTAACTTATCCATGATTAGTAATTAGTGGCATCATCCATATACTGTATTTTTGGACCATAAGACACACCTAGGTTTTAGAGGAGGAAAAAAGGGGAGAAATTTTTTGAAGCAAAAAATGTGGTAAAATATTTACTAACATAAATAATGTAATATTTTACCAATGTAAATATAAACAGAACTCAGCAGCAGCATTAACAACTATTATTCCTCCCAAATTTGAGGAGAAAAAAGTACATCTTGTAGTCCAAAAAATACGGTAATCACTTTCAATTGGAATGATATGAACCATGTGATCAAAGCCTTTTCACATACTCTATGTATTTTTAACAAGAATCCACTACCTTTAATAATTTGCTATTTTCAAAAAAAAATTAAAGCAAAGCATATAAAAAGCAAAAAGAGCTTCATTCCCAAGATAGAACTAATAGAAAGAAAAAGCTTATTATACTGGGTATAATTTCTTTACAAAGGTATTAATTTTTTCCAAGTTTAACTCTGGACACAGTGAATTTCAAGCAGGAAAACACAGGTGATAACTAACGGTGTGATTGACATGTAGTTCGTGAAGGATGTGCCCATGTGGGAATGGAGAAGCCATAACGGTACATCCCACCGAACAGCTTTTCCTCGCACTAATTCTCAAGGAAATCCCACCTGTGAGTCTTTAACAGGAGACACTGAGTGATGCAAAAAGCAGCGACTTGTGTAACTTTTTTTTCGACAGCAAAAAGCTTATCTGAATTTTATGTCCATCTCATTTCTTTTTGTGGAGATGTTTGGGAGGGGAGCAATTGCCAGAGTGTTGCATCAGATTGTTACTGATTTGAATGGAAGGGACAAAAAATATGTTGGCTGGTGGACTCAGCCTTGTGCTTGTCCAATTTGGTGGAATGAATGGGTGGGAAATTTTTCTCTCTCACTTGGCATAACGGATCTTCTGATAGGAGAAGCTGGAAGAGAGTTCCTTCCTATGTGTTTTCCTTTTTAATTCAGTGATTTGGACTGGTATTACTGTATTTAACACTGCTGATTGAGAGTAAATTTATATAATGGAAATCAGATTCAGGAATTCGATAGATTAGTGACATACAGACTTTTCAATCATACTGGAAGACATGTCTAAGTTACTATGAAAGTGCATTGAGAAAATGTAACTATTGCTAAAAAGTCATGCACAGTCCCCTCCAGTGGGCTTTTTGCCTTCATCTTCTCTGGCCTCTTTGAAGCATATGACACTGTCGATGACTTTCTAGTCTCATCTCTCTTGTGACGTGAATTATTTGACGCCACTCTCTCTGGTTTCATTTAAACAGTTTCTTCTCCACGTCCTTTGTGGACGTACCTTTATTCACCAGGTCACTTCCATTGTCACTCCAGATGCCCTGGACAGTCTCAGCCACTCCTGTGACTTCTGCTGCCTCTTGTATTCTGGTGACTCATGAATTCAAATATTCTCCAGCCCAGAATTTTCCTTTGATTGTTCATTGTAACCATCTGTTCATAGGCCTACTCACATGGCCCCTTGGACATCCACAGATGCCCTGAGCTGAGCATGTTTGCATGTGAAATAATTATTCTCCCAAACCTATCATTTATTTTCCTAGTTCTCTCTTTCCTCATCTGTCTCTTCCTCCTACTACTGCCTGAAAGATTCTTCTTACATGCAAATCTGACTGATGTCATTTGTTATATTTCCTTCCTTTTATGGGTTCCATAGTAGGAGACGATAAGGGGTCTTAGCAACCTGTAAAATATAAATGCTGGCGTGATATTTTAGAGCAGCTTCTTAGCATAAGAACTAAGCAAACTGAAAAAAAATACTTGCATTATTTTATCAAGTAGTTATAATACTTAAAAACACGGATATTTGAGGAAAAATGCTAACATAGTCTTAGTCAAAATACTATTGCCGAAGGAGAACTTCCAGTCTTTGCATATATCTATAAAAACAGAAATTGCCACAAAGTGGAAATGTATGCAGGGGTATCATACTACAAAAGCAATGAATTAATAAAACATTACTTACTTTAAAAAATACTTTTTATTACCACTTTGTAATGCCTTCCAGCTTTTTCCTTCTCATTTTCTTTCTAACCTCTCCACGTCCTCTCTCAAGAGTGACGTGGAAGAGAATGGGGAAAGAAAGTCACTCCAGCCCAGTTTGCTTCTCTCTCTGTTCTTTGTATGACGATTGTGTGGTCTTTTCTTATCCTGACCAATGATAAATACGGTGAGGTTCTGTTTGGCATTCATATGGAATCATTCTTAGGACCAATTATAAAACGACTCTTCAATAAATAGTGTTTTAAACTCATTTAAAACTTTAATTTGAAATACGTCTGTGTCATCCTGTGGTACATTATCACCATACAGCAGCACCAGGATCAGTGTGGAGATGCCCTTGGTCCTTGTTAAGTGCATTGCATGCAAAAGCAGCGGTGATCATTCTTGCTTTAAAGTGAAGTTAACACTTTTGAAAGGAGAGGCAGCGTGTGGTTGGTGAGCAAACACACAGTAACTGAGATCTTGTGATTCTTTTCATCTGAAATGGGAACTTGAGCTACTCAACTCCGAACTCTACCCCAAACCAAACTTCAGTAGCTCGGTCCTCACCCGCCCACAGCTGAATCACTGTGAAGGCAGCAGGAAAGCCCACTCTGTGTTTCTCTCACCATCTACAGAGCCACTTCCTCTCATGAAGAACAGGAGCCTCGTTAATAGTACCTGCCCCTGGCCAACCTCAGCAGTGTTGTGAGGGTGAATTAATGTCTGTGAGGCCCTCGGAGCTCCTGAAAATAACGCACACTGTAAATACATGTCATTATTATGCCTATTATTGTGCTTAGCTCAAGGCCACTCTCAATCATTTGACATTGTCTACGTTATGTAAAAGTTAGCTTCTGTTTAGAGAAACTATCCAGAATAGTCAAAGGAGAATAATTGTACAGTGTCATATGTGCATATTTCCAGAAGGAATACTGTACAAAAGAATTCCCTTCATGGAAGTTTACTCAAAAGAGCCAGAGGAAGAAAAAAAATTTATTTTCATGAATGATCTTTGACTGGAGTCTTATTACTTTGTAAAATCATGCAAAGTAGGCATGAAATAATGGAGCAATTGGATGGGCCCTGTTTGTGATCAGAGGGCAGTCATGGTATTGTAATTTTACAACATCCACCATTATCATCTTCTTTTACTTTCTTCCCTTCTCAAAATACCTAGTCTGTAGAGGACAGATTTGCCAGTGTGGCCCTTAGAAAGTCTGTTCATCCTTGCTCAGGACACCTTTCTCTACTCTTGTTAATTTTCCTGCTTTACTGTTGATGGGTCACGTCTACCGAAGATGCGGGGTGGGAACTGCCCGGCCCCATTCCACTGCACCCCATCCCAGCTCTCTCTCCAGAGAGCCCGCCCACGTGCAGCCCAACTCCAATGCCGCCACGCCCATCAGGCCTCTTCTGACCCCTCCAATCAGAAGCGAGCTCTCTGAGCTGACCCATGCCTATGTGTTTCTCCATTGGCTTTTTCTATCTATGATCTAGTGATTAGCCATTTCATTTGCAAGCAACATGAAGATGGGGACTGGGCTTTCCACATCTTTACTTCTTCTAATATTTTAAACATACGTGAGACTGCCTGACCAAATCAAATAACTATCAATTTCCTCGTGATATTTACTCTTCAGGCAGCTTAGACATTTTGAAGAGAAATTCAAAATGCGACACACAAATTTTCAGGAGTAACTAAAAAGGAGAATGTATGTGCACAGCTCTCTTCCATCTCCTATGCCCCGCTGATCATTGTGCACGCCAGGCCTCATGCCTCTTAGGAAGCCAGAGTCCACACTCTGCATTGTGGAATTCCATCCGCACAGTGCACCCTGATCGGGAGAGAGAAAGGAGGAGATCGTGGAGGGAACTGGAGAAAGAGGAAGGGATTCATAATCCTGTTGAATAGATCAAGTGAAGAGCGTGGTACCTGACTTAGAGTAAACATTCAGAAATAGCTAAGACATGTTACCAGTGTGCCAAGCCTACTCCGAAAACTTTACATAGATTAACACACTTCATTCTCACAATACCTTGATGAAAGAAGATGCTATTACTAATATATTTGCATTGACAGATGAGGATATTGAGACTCAGAGAGTCAACAGCAGAGATTTTATAATCAGGTCTCATTTCAGAGCGTGTGCTGTGACCCACTCCAGTACATTGCTTCCAAGTGGCTCTTACTGTTTTTATTATTTCTATCATTGTTGCTGCATGTAAATATATTATTATAGACATCATTAGCAAAATATATTCATCTATGTATGGCTTTATGAAACTTTCAGTAATTTTTACCTTCATTTTTAAACTGCTTTCACAAAGTGCTTTATCTCAGGTATGGAGAAGCCCTGAGAACTACCCAAGTGTCCCCAGCTATACAGCAGGAAACAGAATCAAGGGAAATGTGAGTGGGCACTCAGTAAAAATACCTTCTGCATCATATTGCTTGTATCAGGGTAACAGCAGCTTGGTGTAGAGTCAGAGAATCTGCAAACCTAAGGATTCTAAGTCCCTTTCTGCCACTGATTTGTTACTGAGTTGGTCGTTTTCATCGCTTTATGGGTTTCCATATTGTTAAAATATGGTAACTGGTAACATCTGTACCATATAATCCACAGGACTGTTTGGTTTTTTTTTTTAAGGATAGAAAGAATACATCTAGAATGAAAAAAAAATCTGACATTATTTGGAAAAATTTGAAGCATTTTAAAAGAACTGGATTCAAAAACCCCTGTATAAGAAAATAGATAATTTTTATAATTTTGTAGAAATTCCTAGTTCAAATGGTTTTCATCATTGACTCTTTCATGGGATCTTCATTTGTATTATGTTTTTTACACTGAACCCTAGCTTTATCCCTGTTGATGTAACAAAAGCCTGTATATTGAGGATAAATAATTTATTCAACTCTCCCCACTTGGTCATTTAACAAAGAGTCTTTGACACCCACCTAACTCTGGTGTTCAGTGTATCTGCACACTCTCAAATATGGCAACAAATCAACTAGCAGTGCAAGACTGGTTCTTGTTAATAATTGTATGAAATTATTAAATTAATTACTTTGTGTTCTGAGATTACCCCAGTTCGTTTCCCTTCTGCATTGCCCGCTGTCTTGGGTTTATTTTTAGGGCTCCTCAGTTCCTTCCGGGTTTAGTCTGTATTTCCTTTATGTATTAAGAAACTGCCATTCTTTCACCTCTCTCTCAGCGTCAGCTTGCCTTGTCCAGCTGCCCAAGTGCACGCTGCTTATATTTTACGTTTCCGTATCCTGAAGATGGACTGTTTATTCTCCTTGCAATAATTTACAGTTTTGATTTTGTGTCAAGTGCTGTGTACTTCTTTGTACCTCACTTGTTCGTGTATGTGTTCATTCGATTGGGCTGTTTTTCTGTCTTGGGTAAGACCTCGTATTCATGAAATCATTCATAAAGCACAAACTCCTCTGCAGAAAGATTTTAAAAAATTTTTCTGATTGCTCGGAAAATCACTGTACTTATTTTTGGAGGGACATAAATTGGATACATGCATATCTGAGTAATTACCCTGGTGGTGGTAATTTATTGGTTATTTTAAATTACCTCAAAGACTTATAAGAGAAAATATAGAAGAATACTTATTTTTTTCTATAACATAAAAAGTAAAGTTGAAAATCCATGCTCTGTTCCATTTTTTTTTATGTAACATATGATTGTTATTTTTCCTGGTAAAAATTCTCATTTATTCATAAGGGACAGCCTTGAAATTTGTACATTAAGGACAAAGAAAGGTCAGCAGTCCCTCCAACTCCTGGTTCTTTGTCAAAAATGGACACAGTTAATGAGGTTTGTTTGGTACAGAACAAATTCTCAGACACAGATAGAGATCCTTTCAATGGAAACAAATTTGTTTGGCTTTACCAGGGTACTCAGCGATTAATAACATCCTCACGACGCAGGCCAGTCCAGTCGAAGTGCCTGCCGGCCCACACTGTCTGGGTGTGCAGCCAGCCCGGCTCTGTGGACACCCAAACCCTACGCATGAAGTAAAACAAGCCATTTTCTGACTTTATTTCCATATTAATAAGCAATTTTCAAGAGAAGGGCAGCAAAACGAGGGCCATGCCGCTCCAAGTAATTCATTCATTTTGCAATTTAATCTTATGTTGAAAAAAAATTTCTCAGCAGTAGTAGCATAGCATGGTGATTTTTAAACGTCAGTATGTTTCATGAGTAACCTTGTATGAAGTATTGGATTAGGAGCATTTAACAGAAAACTGAAACAAAAATAGTTGTAGACAGTGAAGCAGAAATGAGAATTTTTTCTTCTATGTGGAACTTCCCCCTCTACTTTCTCTGATGTGTTTAAGGTGAAGACTCAGATGACTCACTTAAAATAAATTAAGCATAAGTACAAAAGCCACTTTTAAAATTAGCCCATTAGGTAGTATGCAAAATAAATGATTTGACATTTATAAGTAGAAAAACAAAATTCACAGGAAATCAGAAGATTAAATGTTTTCTTGAGATATTTAAGCAGGTCCAAAATAGTTAACCTCCAACCAAGGAAGTTAATATAGTAATTCACTTACTTTGCATTGGATATAGTTTCTCAGTTATTGGATTACTTGTAAGCTATATTTGATTTTAAAAATTTAACCACTGAAAAAAATCACTTTAAATGCTTGTTAAAGATTGCAAGGATCCCCTTAGAATGTGCAGCTAAGAGATCACACCACTGATTCTGATAAATGTGGATCCTGGTTGCCCCTCAAAAACTTGATTGTCATTAGCAGAAGAATTAAAACATAAGCAGTATGTTAGCATCAGGAATAACCTCAGGCGACTTTTGGTGCAGGAAAGCTCTGGACGAGTTTGCAGAGATCAGAGAAAGAGAAGAGAAGGAGGCTGCCCTGAAAAGGGAGAAGAAGAAAAAAGATTACCAAGCCCGAAAGATGCATTACCTCCTCAGCACGAAGCAGGTGGGTCTACCTGTGCCTGACAGCTCCCGTAAGCCACTGGGGCCCTGGCCTGACAGAGATAAACTAGCAGCCTGGATGGGACATGGCTTGTTGAAAGATATCGCAAAGACACGACTCGGAGTTCAATTCCGTGCTGCGGCGCAGGCGCACGCAGGCACCCCGACTCCTCTGAGACAGAGGCCTGCGAGAGTCCGCTGCCCTGCGCTGCCCGGAGGGTCCGAGTCAGCAGCCGGCTCTCCCACGGCGATAACCCAACACGGAGGGCACAGCCTGACTCTCCAGACCGGTTCTGGGGGGCTCCTTCTTGTGTTGCAAATTGATCAAGAACTAACATGTTATGAAGCTGAGATAGCTCTCTGGATTCTTTGCACCCTTTGCAAATTCTGGTGCGAGCCTTCAGGTACAGCTTTTAACAAGAGCCCTTCAGCAACTCCATCGTTCACATAGGAAAATAAATGTGGAATTTGGAATACTTAGAAATTCATTATCTTGGTAAAATTTCAGGGCTTCAGATCCTGTTACATTTGCTAAGAAAAAACACACTGTATGTAGAATATTATGCTCACAGATATGGTTCTAAAAAGCATGAATTTGACCTTTGGGAAGATAACAGCAATTTCCAGGTTTTTATTTTTTCTTCCAGACTTTCGAAAGTCCAGTCTCATAATTCTAGCGAGAGGCAGATATGGGCAAGTCAAGTCCCAGGAGAGGATGGTGAGGTCTGAAACGCAACGTCATCCTTAGATGGAAGGTTCCAAAGCACATTAAGTGCCTGGCTGGCCACGGACGTTTGCAGCCCAGACCTCCGCGTCTCTAGCCTCTATCCAGTCGTCTAAGCAAAACTTTTCAACAATGGTGACGGACTCAGTGTTTGCTTAGGTACCTATAGCTCAGTTACCTTCTTCGTTTCACAGGCAAGGAAACAGAAATGAATGAGTTTAAAATAATTTAGAAATAAAAAGTCAACGTATTTCTACTTTTTATTATAATCCATAACAATGTAAACATTGTAGCTATATGATTAGTGAGCTACATTTTTTAAATATAGAACTGCAAGTCAAGAATTCTCTTTAGCAAAAGCTTTTCAAATTCATGTACTAGTAATTTCAACTTCGATGGAACTCTTTAAACCTGACAATAATTCTTAGGTAGATTTGTTTATTTTGATAACCCCAAACTCTCTCTATATTGGGCTGGCCAAAAAAGTCTGTTTACTTTTTACCATAAGACTCATTTTTCATTTTCACCAATCATTTCATTGATTTTGGATATTTTGAGTATGTCGGCTATCTCCCACTCTTGGTCTCTAGTGGGTAGAGGCCAGGGGTGCTGCTGAACATCTTCCAATGCATAAGACAGCCCCACAGCAAAGAATTGCTTGGGCAAAATGTCAGTAGTGGCAAGAAACTTCGTACACTACTTTTGACATGTGTGATCAGTCACAGCACCTTCTCCATATACTGCACAAATCTTTTTTGTGTATTTCAGTTGCATTTTTACCTCTCTTGAAATAATAAAGCATAATAGTCCAAAAATGTTACATATTTTCTTCCACCTTCAGTAAGAAAATGGCTGCACAAAAATTCAACAGTTTTGATCGGCTTCTTTTTAACGCACACTGATACGATAGCTGTCACAATACAATCTAACAGCATCGTTTTGAATGAAGTGAAAGACAACTAAGCACTACTAGAGCCATCATACAGAAAAATCTAAATGAAATTTTTGGCCAACCCAATACTTGGAATCTCTCTTAATCTGAGTTCTAATTTTGTTCTTTTTATTTACAATGGGTAGTATAATGGAGAAAACAAGTTTTTAAATGTTGAAATCCAATTTAACTGAAACATTTGTTAATTCTGTTTTACCCAGGGTTATCTAGACAGTGAATATGTAGTGAAATAACTTAGAAAGTTCATGAAGAGTTAGTTGTTTTGCCAATGCCAGGAACACAATAGGAAATACCCATGGAGTGATTGTCTTGTGCCAAAGGCAATGGCGGACACTTTACATGCATTATTTTTTTTAACTATTTTTATTTCATTTTAGTTTTAAAATTAAGTGCCTGGCTTAACGAATTATTTCACCAGCAACCACATGACTCATGGAGCTTAATGAATTTTCATATAATATAACCAGTGTGTTTTAGGTATGTTTGTGTTCAGGAATACACCCCGTCCATGCTGTCTGCTGTTCTTCTCCTTGCTTCTGCACAGCTGATAAGATCAGTGTGTGCAGACTTGAGCTGAGTGATCACTTTTCTCCAGAGCTGCCTGGCAGCCAGTCATGGCTTTCTCTCTTTCCCCCTCTCCTTTCTGCTCTCTCTAAAATAAATAAATACAAAATTATTTTTTAAAAAAGAAGTATATCAGGATAAGAAATCTTTTGTTAACTTACTTAAAACAGTAATTCTGATAGCATGTTAGCAAGGAGAGAAAGACTTTTTATTGACAATACCAATAATTTAGAAATGATTTTAATCTAGTTTGTAGAAAACTGATTAGTAAATGAATTGTAGTAAACTTTTATAATTCTAATATAGTTTAACTTAGATGTGTAGAAATAATACATTACTTTAGACAAATAGTCCTTCAGGAAAGGTGAACATTATTGTAAGCAAAAATTGTATTAGTATATCCAGACCTAGAAAATAAATAAAATCATTCATTATTTAACATATTAATAATTTTAGGACAATTATGCTGATATACTGACCTATTTATACTGATAGCATAGTTTTCTAGTTTGTTTTAAGCTCATTTTTAGCTTAATCCAATGTATATCTTAAAGGTTCTAAAATATATTACTAATTTTTACTGATATTAATTATCTCATCTTTATGCAACCAAAATGTTAGCACAAATATAAGTTACACAACTAAATAACTAATATAACAGTGAGTGAATTAATAGACCCCTCAGGGTTTTATTAATTAAAAAGTTCAAGTCATATTAAAACACTTTTTGTATATGTTTATTTCAATCAGAAAGCTGAACGTGGTAACTTATTTGCATAAATAATCAATCACGATTTCTAGTAGTAATAAGGTTAATTTGTTGCTACAGACATAATAGGATTAGTCAATTATATTTCCCAGAAAATGCTATTTGTTATGCGGCCATCACCTGTGAAACAGGATTGGGTTTAGCGCCCTTATTACGTGAACACATCAAAAAAGTCTTTGTCCCTGTAAAAGTTGTATGAAAAGAAAGCTAATTTTAGTTGATTTGAATAAGTAAAATACGAACATTGCCTTCATTTGTGAATTTAATTTATCTTTCCGCAAAGATTGATTGTTTAATAAAGTTATTTATTTTGATTCAGTAACCAGTCAAACTGAATCTAGCATATATTGGACATACTCTTTGAAGAAAATCTCATTTGCAGATTTGTTTTATTCCAAATCAACTGACTCTCATTCTGCTGCCCTTGTTCTGGGTAATAAATTATGTTGTCGGCTCCACCTACTGGTCGACAGAAGCAAAGGCCTGCTGCCGGCCTCATTAGAACGGGCAGCCTCTGAAACGTTGCCAGGATTTGCACGGACCCTCCTGGATCCGTCGGCAAAGTGACGGGCACAAATGTGAAACTCAGGATCCAAACCAGAAATCACTGATATTTGGAAATATAGGCCATAGCATAGAATTATATGCATGAAAAATTTCCTGATTAGTGGAAATAATGCCATTTTTAATTGTCATCTGTTAATAAAAAAATACATCAATACAAAATATATTAACTCAGTGTAACTGTGCATATTTTATTTTAGTTATGGCATTTCATAGTTTACGCATATTCAAGTAAACACTGAAATGAAAATGTATAAAGTTAATTACAATTTTATACATATTTTGTGGAAATAACTTTCATGTTATCCCTTATATGATAATAGATATTCAATACTTTCTCTTTAATGAGCAGTAGAAATTTCTATATGGGCTCTGAGAAAATAATTGTCATTATTTATGATTCCTTAAAAGGTTGAACTTTATTTCTAATTACTTTATTTTTTGAGCGAAGCGGGTAGTTTCAGCTACAGTTTTTACAAATTCATATAATAGCTGTGTACAGAAGGAGAATATCTTAAATATAAAAGGTATACTTGATAGGCCCGAAATTAATTGGCCATCTGTTGGTATGGGGAACATGCTTATAAGACAACTCGCGTAAGGTAAAAAAGGCGAAAGTTAAGAACCACGGTAATTCTTCTGAAGCATTCATTGCTTTCAACACCTTCTTCTGAGTATCAGAAGCAGAGTGACACTACCCACTGCGTGTATTAAGTACACAGTTGCTCACAGAAGAATGGGGGCCTTTCACTGTGCACCTGCCTCTGGGTGTGCGTGTGTGTGTGTGTGTAAGGCGTGTCGTCATACAGGTGGTGTAACGGGAAAGCATGTCTGGGGGGCCTTCTCATGAGGCAGTGTCCTTCAGCAGTGGTCCGAAGCAGCGGGGTTCACCTGGGATGGTAAAAAAAATGCCTTGTAACATCTCTCTGCTGTGCACTTTAGACCTCTCGATCCTTAGCACTTAAAACCACTTCTTTAATGTCAAAGCATTGATTCTATTCCTTCCCAGTTTGTTGGCTGGATCATGGATACTCTCTCTCTCTCTCTCTCCCTCCATGATATATATACAAAGGGTTTATGCCTTGAGGCTCCTGGTGTCAAGGTACCTTTATATCCACTGTGTCGAGTATTATATTTGTGATCTTGTTTTGACACAGCCTGATTTGGGGCTTTCACATGGTTCCTTGCTTCAGCTTTCTGGCTTTTCCCCTCTGCTCTGCCTTAGGCCTTTTGACCCATTTCATAACCCATGGTTTAAGAGGCAGGTCTTCAAATATGGCCCTTGATTCTCGGTCCCAAAAGAACATCCAAATCACAGAATCATCACATAATTTGTTACTATGGGCAGTCTCTATTCAGAAGAGGCCAAGGACTGAACCGGCGTGGAGAATGAACTAGCTATTACCATTTACATTTTACTTCTTCCCTCGT